AGTGGGGAATCACCACTTTTGGAGGGGGACACCCAATAAACAAACGGGGGAATACAGAGTCAGCACAAGTCAACATTCGCAGGCCGTTTTATCCGCCAGGGCCTCTTCTCAGGGATCAGTCCTTACAGATGGAGGCGCGGAACTTCGATTCGGAACAATTCGGATATGTCAAAATTGGACCTTTCTTATTCCAAAAGGTACCCTCGCAAAAAAACACACTCCAAAAAAGACATGCTGGACATGAAGCTCCCAGAAACGAAAGATCCTTCGGTGAAGGTTCACCCCTTCATAACCCTCCCTGGGGAAGAGGACAGTCCTTAAGAGAGCGGCCGGCCATGCCTGGAGGCCTGGAGGGGTGAAAGTGTCATCTTTAGGACTTGCAGGACAAATTTGAGCTTCAGAGAAGAAGAAATAAGGAGCTAACTGTGATTTTGTTAAGACATGTTCAGAGATGAAGTTGGGGTCTGACATGTTTTTTTCTGTTGATGTTCTCTTCTTCTTTTTTGGAGAAGGGCAAAACAAGACCTTGATAAAACCCAACAAATAAAACAACATGTCAGACCCCATGTATCCATGCTGGCTGAGTTAGGGTATGTTTTTTTCTTTAAACAAATGTTTTTCTCGAGTTGTTTGAAAGTACCAAGGAAACATACGCAAAGAGCTACTTACTGAATCCCAGTGTTTCAAAAAACCACCCCCCATGAGGTGCCCTTCTGGAGAGCGGTGGCTCACGCGGGGTGGGTTTGTGCATTGTTTGTTTTTGCGTGTTTGTGCCTGTGTTTTTTTCACATTGCTTTTCTACAAGTTGCACTTTATTGTATTTGTAGTGATAGCAAAGACTTAAGCAGATGCAATGGATAGAGGAGAAGCAATGCACTATTCTGCTTTTTCACGTGTGGGGCCTTTTTGGGGTAAATGGATTCGTTGTGGAGCTTGTTTGGATCAGTCTTCACTTCATCTTCTTGAACTGGATTTTAGTCAGCACTTCCCTTCCAAGCAGAATTCCAATTAGAAGGTCATTGGAACCTTGAATTTAATTGTTAGTTGACATGTGTAATGGGATCTTATCCGAATATGCTTTCACGTAGAATTTTGTTGTATGCTTGTTTTACTATGTTTAAGTATATTGTAAGCAGGAATTCCTTCCAAATCTAAATGAGAGTCTCTTTCCATGATGTCTTTTAGTTGACATGTGTATAACGGGAATTTAGCAAGGAAAGGCAAGCGGTAGCTTCTTCGAACTGATTCAATTATAGTTTTGAATCAGAACTTAGATGGGATTTCCTTTCCACGTATCCAGGATTTTAATTAGAGTTTAGCTATAATCTAGATAATATGGTAAGGAAGACAAGCTGGCTGTTTCCTTTCAGTTGATTTAGCTAGAATTCGGTTCCGGTTGGCAGGTGAAATGCCCAGGCCATGATGGACAATGTGTCCTTCTTGCGGATATGTCTTTCTTCTTGCTGACCCCAACCTTTAAACACAACTCGAGAAAACCAACAAACACAAAAACAACAAAGTTTCACACCATATGTGTCCATGCTGGCTGAGTTAGGGTCTGACCTTATTTTTTCCATTTTTATTCATTGTTCTCCTTCTCGAGTTTGGTTTTTTAGAAAAGCGCCAAACAACCTCGAGAAAACCAGACACACAAAGAAGTAAATACTTGCAGGCCCAATGCTCTGGGGCCCCCATCCTGAGGTGATGCAATCGGGGCCAAGGGGTCTGCATTTGTTTTTTTGCTTTTTTACGCATGTTAGTCAGGGGTCAACACACAGGCCTCTTGTTTTTGTCGCGTGTTTTTTGCTGTTTTACCCATGTCAGGGGTGAACACACAAGGATTTGTTCCATCTCTTTTGATTGGCTTCCGAGAAGATTCCGGATACGGCGTCGGGACCCCCTCCCTGGGCTCTGGAGTTCCAAAATTTCCCCTTTCCCTGGCTGCCTCTTCCCCAGCGTAAAAGCCATCCTGGGTTTGACCTCAGGGTCTCTGCCAATACGTTGCTTCCTCCTGTTTGGCTCGTCTATCTGGAGAGTGAGGCGGATGTTCGACATGGTTCAAGACCGGCCAATGAGCCGAATGTGGGCGACGCACTTTGAACCTTCTCTTCGAGTCAGGGGAGCCAGCTATAGGGATTTGTTTGTTATTTGTCAATGAGACTGCCATCGATTTGCTGGCTTTGCTAAGTTGCTCCCCCGTTTTGGATGGGTTGTTCAAGAAAGGCCAAAGGAGGCCAAGAAATGAAATGGGAGGGGGACCCTTCAATTCGATTGCTAGTTCCATTTTCCTTCTGGGGATGACTCGACAAAGCAATGGTCAAAGCTACTTGTGCTTGGGATGTTCGTCAACCACCCAGTAAGGGAAAGACCATGACCCAGGAGGCACAATCCTTTTGCCCCTTTGATGTAGGGGTCATGCAAGGAGCAGCTGGTGGAGAATCGAGAGCTGCAGATGGAAGAGGACTTGCGCCCGAACGCGCAAAAGGTGCCCCACATTGCCATGTGGCTGTGGGTCAAAAGCAATGGTACCATTTTGGGGTGGGTGCACCTCCCATTTTAGTCTATTTTAGTGGGGATTGGGATGTTTACTGGGGGTACGGGATTTGACCCATGTCCGTGTGGACAGATTTTCAGGCGGAACGCCAACATGGTCTTCAGCTCTGGTTGCACTTTCCAACAACGCCGAAAAGAAGTTCCCTGAAAACAACGCGCACCCATGTGCGATTGGGTGTCGGTGTGTCTCTAGTGTAATAGACTGACAACCAGTCTGTGAACGGAGGATGTGGGTGTTGCACAAAGCGGCGCAATACATTCATTTCTGCAGGCATGGGTCGTCATCCCATGAAGATACTCGCCAGCACGTTTCATCGTGTTGTTTGCAACAAGTTTAGCAGTTGAATCTCTCCTAATCCGGCTGCTTCAACGAAGCTAGGAGGCATTCGGTGGGAACAGCCAGGTTTCATGATGCATCACCCCCAAAAGTAAGGAGCTGCTGTATGGCTAGAAGCTGTTTAACAGCTTCTCGCCTGTGGAAAGCTCAAACGATGAACCATGCACTTCTTTCCAGTGCCCACCGGCTTGTGATCATAGGGTCTTGTGAGTTTTTTTGGTTCAGGGGACCCTTCAAACTGGTGATTTTCGGTTTCCCTTGGAAAAAAAAACAACACCACAAAATACACCAACAACAAGGGTACCCTCACTAGGTCCCCCAGTTTTACCTTTTTTTTGGGTTCCCCTACTGAAATAGACTACTCTTATTCTAACCTCTCTGCTGGAGGACCTAGCTCAAAACAAGAATCACCCAGTTGTGCCATGGCCAAAAGACTCCTTGAAGTAAAAGCAGGGATGGTCATCCACTTGTTAGGATCCTTAATGTCCGCTAGAACCACGACCATCGTCCAAGGCAAGGCCAGTCATGTGGGTTTCTCATACTTTTGGGGACTCGTTGATTTCCCTTTTACAGAGGGTTTCCACTATCCGCCCAGCAAACATGGATGTGCACAGACCCCTGTTGGAAGACCACCTAGACTAAAACCTTCGTAACCCTAGCTGTTTAATTTTCAGCCACACCCATCTGATGTATCGCTGCACTTTCCCCCAGCTTCTGGGGAAGATGTTTCCAGGCCCCTCCCTCTCAGGAGAAGCCTCTGGATGCGAGAGGTGGGGCGTCCGTGGGGTGGGAAGGAGCCGTCCAAAGAGTCCCGCCATATCTCCCCCTTTCACGGCTCTTGTTGAAGACATGTCGCAGGCACATGTGAGCAATATATGTATATATATATATGTATATATGTGTACATGACAGGTTGCATTTATCTATATACGCAAACGATGCGCACGCATACTTGTCTAGCATATGTACATATGTGTTGGCCCAGGTGGTTTATTTCGCAAGGAGCCATGTGCATTCCAAGTCGCAAGCACATTTTGGGGGTGCTTGGGGTGAAGTAGATAATCGCATCTGTGCGGCGTCCAACACCGATTCCCATTGGCCATGGCCGTAGATGGTCCTACTGTTTGGTTTCATTGGCGTTGTAGCAGAAAGCCCATTGCAAACCTGTGCAACTACGTTGGTAGAGCCAACAGTCAACGAGCTGTTTCTTCTAGAAGGGACAGTATGGGAATGTGTCAACACCAGGACTCCTGCAAATGGTTGGTTCAATGGGTTCCCTTCGGTAAGGGTCCAACAAGGTTGGTAATGGTCGCCTTAAATAGGGCCCCACCCCCTCCTCCCCCTGTGGGCCCGCTGGTTTTTGCAGGTTATGGTCATCTTGCAAAAGGCCTTTCCCCCTCCCTGTGGGCCCGCTGGTGGGTCAGCTTAGGGCCAAGGCTTTGAGAGTCGTACCCCAGTTGGCGAGCGGCCACCCCCGCCCCCCAAGTGGGGGCGGATACCAAGAAGGGGGGGTGGCCGCTCGCCGACCGGAACCATATATACATGTTACCCCCCCTTGAATACTCAGGTTTTCGTTCAAACATTGACATGGTTGCTGTAGAAACTTTAGAGCCTCCGGCTCAGTCCGCCGACATTGTCCTCTCCCTTTTCTCCTTCTTCCTCTCTTCCTTGTCTCCCTTGTGTGTTCTGTCGTCCTCTCTCCCTCCCTCTGCTCCCATCCTCCCCATCCCCCCAAGCCTCTCTCTCCCCAATCTCCCTCTCTCGCATGCATGCATGCATGTACATATGTATGTATGTATGTATGTATGTATGTATGTATGTATGTATGTATGTATGTATGTATGTATGTATGTATGTATGTATGTATGTATGTATGTATGTATGTATGTATGTATGTATGTATGTATGTATGTATGTATGTATGTATGTATGTATGTATGTATGTATGTATGTATGTATGTATGTATGTATGTATGTATGTATGTATGTATGTATGTATGTATGTATGTATGTATGTATGTATGTATGTATGTATGTATGTATGTATGTATGTATGTATGTATGTATGTATGTATGTATGTATGTATGTATGTATGTATGTATGTATGTATGTATGTATGTATGTATGTATGTATGTATGTATGTATGTATGTATGTATGTATGTATGTATGTATGTATGTATGTATGTATGTATGTATGTATGTATGTATGTATGTATGTATGTATGTATGTATGTATGTATGTATGTATGTATGTATGTATGTATGTATGTATGTATGTATGTATGTATGTATGTATGTATGTATGTATGTATGTATGTATGTATGTATGTATGTATGTATGTATGTATGTATGTATGTAATGTAATGTAATGTAATGTATGTATGTAATGTAATGTATGTATGTATGTATGTAATGTATGTATGTATGTATGTATGTAATGTATGTATGTATGTATGTATGTATGTATGTATGTAATGTATGTATGTATGTATGTATGTATGTATGTATGTAATGTATGTATGTATGTATGTATGTATGTATGTATGTATGTATGTATGTATGTATGTATGTATGTATGTATGTATGTATGTATGTATGTATGTATGTATGTATGTATGTATGTATGTATGTATGTATGTATGTATGTATGTATGTATGTATGTATGTATGTATGTATGTATGTATGTATGTATGTATGTATGTATGTATGTATGTATGTATGTATGTATGTATGTATGTATGTATGTATGTATGTATGTATGTATGTATGTATGTATGTATGTATGTATGTATGTATGTATGTATGTATGTATGTATGTATGTATGTATGTATGTATGTATGTATGTATGTATGTATGTATGTATGTATGTATGTATGTATGTATGTATGTATGTATGTATGTATGTATGTATGTAATGTATGTATGTATGTATGTATGTATGTATGTATGTATGTATGTATGTATGTATGTATGTATGTATGTATGTATGTAATGTATGTATGTATGTATGTATGTATGTATGTATGTATGTATGTATGTATGTATGTATGTATGTATGTATGTATGTATGTATGTATGTATGTATGTATGTATGTATGTATGTATGTATGTATGTATGTATGTATGTATGTATGTATGTATGTATGTATGTATGGTATGTATGTATGTATGTATGTATGTATGTATGTATGTATGTATGTATGTATGTATGTATGTATGTATGTATGTATGTATGTATGTATGTATGTATGTATGTATGTATGTATGTATGTATGTATGTATGTATGTATGTATGTAATGTATGTATGTATGTATGTAATGTATGTATGTAATGTATGTATGTAATGTAATGTATGTAATGTATGTATGTAATGTATGTATGTATGTATGTATGTATGTATGTATGTATGTATGTATGTATGTATGTATGTATGTATGTATGTATGTATGTATGTATGTATGTATGTATGTATGTATGTATGTATGTATGTATGTATGTATGTATGTATGTATGTATGTATGTATGTATGTATGTATGTATGTATGTATGTATGTATGTATGTATGTATGTATGTAATGTATGTATGTATGTAATGTATGTATGTATGTATGTATGTATGTATGTATGTATGTATGTATGTATGTATGTATGTATGTATGTATGTATGTATGTATGTTATGTAATGTATGTATGTATGTATGTATGTATGTATGTATGTATGTATGTATGTATGTATGTATGTATGTATGTATGTATGTATGTATGTATGTGTAATGTATGTATGTATGTATGTATGTATGTATGTATGTATGTATGTAATGTGTATGTATGTATGTATGTATGTATGTATGTATGTATGTATGTATGTGTAATGTATGTATGTATGTATGTATGTATGTATGTATGTATGTATGTATGTATGTATGTATGTATGTATGTATGTATGTATGTATGTATGTATGTATGTATGTATGTGTGTGTATGTATGTGTATGTATGTATGTATGTATGTATGTATGTATGTATGTATGTATGTATGTATGTATGTATGTATGTATGTATGTATGTATGTATGTATGTATGTATGTATGTATGTATGTATGTATGTATGTATGTATGTATGTATGTAATGTATGTATGTATGTATGTATGTATGTATGTATGTATGTATGTATGTATGTATGTATGTATGTATGTATGTATGTATGTATGTATGTATGTATGTATGTATGTATGTATGTATGTATGTATGTATGTGTATGTATGTATGTATGTCTGTAAGCATGCATGTATGTATGTATGTATGCATGTATGTATGTATGTAAGTAAGTAAGTAAGTAAGTAAGTAAGTAAGTAAGTAAGTAAGTAAGTAAGTAAGTAAGTGTAATGCATGTAATGTATGTACGTATGTATGTATGTGTGCATGCATGCATGCATGCATGCATGCTGACATACATGTATGCATGTATGTATGTATGTAATGTATGTATGTATGTAATGTCATGTAATGTCATGTAATGTCATGTAATGTAATGTAATGTAATGTACTGTAATGTATGTATGTATGTATGTATGTATCCTTGCACTTCCCCTTTGCTCCCCAGTATTTCCCGCAAAAAAAACACGGTTTTTCCAGCGTTTTCGCAAAGAGGACGTCCAAAAACATTGAGTTTTTCCAGATTTTCGGCAAAAGGATGCAGGAAGCCCAAGCCAGCAAAAAAGCCGGCAGGGGGAATCGAGCCTGGGACCCCTGTTTTGCGACACCGGCTCCCCGAAGACTACGTTTAGTGGAACGTCATCAAATTGCCGCGCGGTACGTGGGGGACCCCCCCCCCAAAAAACCTACGTAATAGACGTCGGGCGGGGGGGGGGTTAGGGGGGGGGTTATCCTCTATCCTCTAGTAAGTATCCGACACGCCGAGCAATGTCGGCGGATTCCTGCGACGTGCACCTTTCAGCTTCTAAAAATGATGCTCAAGAAATGCACTCTCTTACAGACATAGATTATAGCATGAGTACTTAGCGCAATCCAGGATGTGCCTGCATATCCTGGATTGAAGACTAGCACATATCAGTTGACATAAGTATGGATTTGAAGACTTCCAGAAAAGTGGCCTGAGAATCTTCAATCTTCAATCCAGGATGTGCTAGCACGTGCTAGCGCATCTTGGATTGCCCTAAGCGCATATTGAAGAATCCGAGAAAGAGTTGCCAAAGAACCTTCAATCCTCAATCTTCAATCCAGGATGGGAAAGCGGATCCTGGATTGCCCAAGTATGGAATCTTATAAGGCGGACAAGCAGAGCGCGTTTTAAGAGGCAAATTGTGGATGTGCACCTCCTGCATTTTGCCAATAGGGGAAACATGTGTTTTGAAAGCTTTCCAGCTTTGGTGGGACTTGAGGGCTGACGAAAATAAACGATTCGCAAAAAATAAACCTGGAGATCTTCCATCTTCAAGGCAGGTGGGAAAACCTTGAAGAGGCTAGAAAAACTGTCGAGCTGTTTGTTGGCCAGGATTGAAGATGTTCTAAAACGATGTCTGTGGAATCTTGACGATTGCTGAAACGCGCAAGAAACTGCAACTAGTTAAAGTTGAAGTTGGCATGACCTCGAAATCATTTTAATCTTTATTTTTCCTATACTTGAATTTCAATAGCCGTTCTTGACAGTGGTTAAGTCGTACTAGAAAAGCAATGCACAACCGAGATTTCGCAAGTTTGAAATATGTAAATGCACCTGCGCAAGGACATGAAGCACTTTTATGTTTGATTTTAACGTCAGTTGCAAGTAGGATTGAGTTATTCTCCCCAAGTGGATGACGGATGATTTGCCGAGTTTCCCTGTACTGTAAACCAAAAAATCAAACAGCTGTTACAGGCACGATGAATCTGCCAAAGCATTTTTTCTCGTACTCTCTTGTGCTGAAAGTTGTGCTTTTGGAGCTGGGGCTGCCAAAGTGCACTTCGCAGACTCCAGCGTGACTTTCAGTGTTCTAGGAACGGCGCGAACTGTTCTGTTCTGTTGCAGCTTCGTGCCAGGACCTTCCGCAGGCTCTGGTCGCTGTCCGAGATATTATCCAGAAGCAGCAGTGGCCACCGAAGGTGACAGCGGAGACGCGGCTGATCGAAGCGCTGCGCAGCACTGCGCGGCGACTGACGCTGCAGCAGCAGCGGTCAGACGTACTTCGCCGCGAGAGTGTCGAAGCTGCGCTTTCAGCGTTCGGCCGCCGCATCCGCAGCAAATTCAGTTCTCGAGTTGGGGACGTGATGGAGACCATCCGTGGCTATGCCAGGCAGGAGCACGGTGCTTTCATGGCAGTCAACATTGGCCTGCAGCGCAACGCAGGACAGGCAGGGTATCCTGGCCTCAGCCTTCACAAGAAGCCCATTAGAGAGCGTGCTCGTCCAACAATTTCACTTCGCGTTCGAGCTGTTTAACTAGGAGCTCCTGTTGAAGGTCGAGCTTAACTTAGGAAACATTGCTGAGAGATGGGTGTTCTGTGGGAGGGGTGCGTCACTTCTGCCGTTCCAGATTCCCCATTATTGTGCTCAAATGCTGCCAAGGTAAAAGCCGGCTGGGCGGGGAGGAAAGTAACAGACGCAACAACTGTCTTGAAGGGTTCCCACTGGACGGATTTTTGGAGATAGGCGGTTTGCAAGCTCTCTTCCCCAGCGGCGAGATTGTGGTCCTTCATTGTTTCCAGCGGCGAGATTCTGGCGAGATACTCTACGAGTAGCTCTCCGCCCAGCCCTGCCCTCAACAACCGGAAATCTCTCCAACCTGGTGGCAACTCCTCAAAGCGAGAGCTACTCTGGAGTAGCTCTCCGCTCCTATTTGCGCGTTCTTTCAAGGGCTGATTTTGCCCAAGTCTGTCTGCCCAAGATTCTGCTGGTGCCTGAAGCACTCAGTAAGACACAGCAAGCAGGAACGGAGCGCTACTCCCAGAGTAGCTCTCCACTGTGAGGGGTTGCCACCACGCCCAAGTTGCAGAGATTTCTGGCTCTCAAAAGCAGGGCTGGGCGGAGAGCTGCTCGTAGAGTATCTCGCCGAGCTTGGTGTTGCCGTGTTGCCAGCCAAGAATCTCGCCGCTGGAAACAATGAAGGATCACGACCTCGCCGCTGGGGGACCAGAGTTTGCATTATTTCGCCGCCTGGCTGCCTTAAATCCGAAATGCCTCGCCGGCTGTATCTCCAAAATCCGTCCAGTGGGAACCCTTCAAGACAGTTGTTGCATCTCTTACTTTCCTCCTACTCATGACCTGCCCAGCCGGCTTTCACCTTGACAGGATTTGCAATTTTGCAATTCGGCGCAAGCATGCAATAGCACAATAAAGGAGAATCTGGAACGGTAGAAGTGAAGCACCCCTCCCACAGAACACCCATCTCTCAGCAATGTTTCTTACTTCTGCTTGCTTTGACTTGCATGGAGTTGCACGTCCTGTCAGCTCAGCTGAGAGTCGCCCAGTCTAGCCAAAATCTTGAGTTCTGGACAAAAGCCTGAGCATTTCAAGGGGGAGGGGGGCAAGACAAATCTACCAACAAATGAATATATAATACTATATATATATATATATACAGATAGATGCATACATGTATACACGCCCAGATTTGTTGGCCAGTGGTTGATTTTGAAGAGGAAACCAACCCTCTTTGCGAGGCATTTTCTTTTAAACAGATACCCCTGATTCGATTGAGAAGGCGGGACCACCGCCTCTCTCCCACTGGCCATTCAAGATAGGAAGGGGCAGCGTTCCATTCACAACAGCTCAAGCCCAGGAGTTGCCCCGGATCCAATGCGTTCCAGTCCACCTCTCGGCTGTTCAAAGGCAATCCTTGAAATCCTTGGGTCAAGGAGCTTTCTTCTTGTTTCTTTTGACCAACGCTTGATTGTGAACAGGGCTTGGGGCAAGATCCTTGGGACTTTGGAGTTCTGAGGCGGCATCTCCAGCCAGGCCCGGGCACGGAGATGGCGAGATTCATGGAACTCCTTCCGCTTTAAGCACCCGGGTCCATAGCGCTGCTTGTTGGTTACCGGACGAGGGGGTTTTGGACATTGGAGAGAGCAGGCAATTTGGGACACGGGGGCTGGTTCGTTTCTTCGTTTGTTTGTTCATTCATCCATCAATCCATTCATGCATTCAATTATTTGCTGTTCGGTCCTTTGTTTTTCATTGGTTCGTTCATTGTTTTCTGCGACCACTTTAGTGTGTCTCAAATTGGGAGACTCCCGGTTTGTTAATTTGTTTGCTTTTGGTTCCCTGTAGATAGATGCATCCACAATGGGATGGGAGGCGAACCCAGGGAAGTATCTGCTGGGTGTTCAGGTTCGGGCCCGAAAGGATTGTGTCTCAAGTGCCGAGGTTGCTTGCCTTCGGGTTTCCTTTCAAACCGATAAGGAGTTTCTCGGCCAGCTAGGGCTCACATGCAGCCAGGGCCCGCCTCTTCATCCGAGAGCTCGCTATTCGTGCACATGAAGCCCAAAATGTTGCAAGCAGGAACTGAGCAGTCACGTGTAGTTTACCATGGTCTTTGGTCGGTTTGATTGACAACGGCTCTGAGCTAAGTTTCATAATCCCACAACCCACCCTTTGCTTCTCATGTTTGGCTAGGGCCGGAGATACGTCTGGGTTCCTTGTATAATTACATAGAAGATTGGGACCCGTTTGAGCTGTTTTCCCGACGAATGGGCAGTCGCGCTTTTTATATATAGGATGCTTGCCGAACTAGAACGTTTGTGTTTTGTCTACCCTTTTTTTCTCACATTGGATGGATGGCAAGTGGAGTTGCTGCCATCCCTTGGTTTGAGCTGCAAGGTATCTCACAGACAACACGCGTGCATCCATGTATCTCACCGACAACACGTAGAAAAGGGATAATATGGGCCTGTTTGGGATGTTGGGCTATCCAGTTGTGTTGATCATGGGTTTGCACACGCCTTGAGAACAAGTCAGCGGGATTGCATGGGATCGTTCACGCTCTTCTTTCCTTCTGCTTCCCTTGGCAATGTCTCAGAATGGGGGACCCCTCCAAACAGTTGGTCTTCTGGTTTCCCTCCAAACATGACGAAATAAATCAGATTTCAGGATGTTCTTCCCGAACATGTGGAAACATCGACATGAGTATGAGTCAAAATTTAGCCGCCAGGCCGCAGGTTTTAGTCCTTGTCTCGACAAACCAGGGTTCCATTTTGGGTTCCCCGATTTTTGACCCACGCCCACATGGCTGTGGGTCAAAACCAATGGGATCCCATTTTGGGATAGGTGCACCACCTTTTTTTAGAACCTATTTTAGTGGTTGGATTGGGAAGTTCACTGGGGGCACGATTTGGGTTTTGACCCATGGCCATGTGTTTTATATGTCAAGGCTCACTAAATATGGACAAGAGTCAATCATGGTAGATACCCTCCCATCGACATGGATCCAGTGCCACTTTCCTTTCCTTTGGGGGTTCCCTTAGTTTTGACCTACGGCCACACGTCTTGAGGCCCGTTTCCAAAATTTGATCTCGAAAGACCAGCACTCGCGGGCACGCCTGCCAGGGCCCATGCCGACGCCAGGCGCGAAACAGAGAGAGCCGTCCAAGCCCTCAACAAAAAAGACATGGCGAGTTAAATGGTTGCACTTTTTTGCAAAACATGCAACACATATTTTATAAGTTTTTCTAAAATGTTATAAATAAATAAAAGTCGGGCGTGTCCTTTTTCAGGACTTCCAAAGCTGTCGTTGTCTTTTTCCTTTAAGACAGACCCGTCTTTGATGCAGCCGAACGCCCCAAAAAGAGAAACAGCGTTCGGGCGGCAAAAGCGGGTTCGGGCGGCTCGGAGCTCCTGGCCCCGAGCCTCGGCCTCGAATGGCTGCGCCCTTTTGGGGAGTTGGCTCTTTTTTCGGTTTGTTGAAGGGCGACAAAAGCACTCCTCTAGGGGTTGATTCCTGTTCCATTGTGTTGGATCACCGGTCTTTTTTCAAAAACCGGATCCGTTTTCCCTGGAGGTTTTCTGGAAAGAAAGAATGGGGAAGGTACCCCTAGAGAGCTGGTAGCTCTTTTTTTTGGAAGGGAACGAAAAGGAGAACCGCATCCATTTTGGGAGGTCTTTTGAGAAAAACAACAGGCACCCAAATCGACCTGTCTTGTGTCACCTTTGGAAGCGGGTTCGGGGGCGGGGGGGAAATGGGGGGGGATGGGGGTAACAGGCCTTTTTTTTTTGTTCCAGGGAGGCCAACTTCAGAGGAAACATCTTTTCTTCGGGGGGCGGGCTTGCAGCTAACCCAAACGCATTGCACCCCCAACAAATGACACACCCTTTTTTGGCACATCAGCCAGTCCCGCGTTTCGCGCGAAGTCCCGCTGTTTTCGCGCGAAGCCAGGCCTCGGCTCTGGTGACTCTCTCCGGCGTGGCGGCGAGGGGCTGAGTGAGGGGGCCGAGTGCGGTGTGGCTCCAAACCCGGGTAGGTGCAGGTTAGCAAGCTGGGTCCCCCAGCTAGGTGCCGTTTCTTTTACCGTTTCTTTTTTGCGGGAGGGTTCCCCTACGAAAATAGACTACAGAAGAAAGTGTACCCTTATTCGAACCTCCACCTAGTAAAGAACAGTATATAGCCACAATTGGGTGCAGGTTTTGATAGTGACTGAACTTAGTTGTCCATCGCCGACCTTTTGACCTGCAGGTTTTCTCGTTTTGGTTCATGTTTACTCAAGGCACCAAAAGGTCAACCTGTTGTTTCTGGATCCTTTGGGCAGCTGAGTAAAGAGCAAGGGTTGCCCAGGTTTGAAATCTTTGTTTCCATTTACTCAGGAACCCTTTTGGGCCCCATTTTTGAGCCACAGCCATTCAACTCACTTGCCCAGCGCGATTCGATCTGAAATGACCTTTTGACCTCCCCCACGACCATAGGATTTCAACTATCCCGCCAACACCTCTTTTGGAAGGCCTTTTGCGGCTGGGTGGAAAAGGAAGCCAAAAGGAGAACCTCTTTTTTGGGGTGTGGCCCGCTATGTTGACCACCCATTTCTGCCTTCTTTTTAGCTCAAAGTTTCGGGGGGCCGTTTCCTAAAGACTAGGGGCTCTTGATCGGGCTTGCCGTGGTATGGCTTGTTTGAGGCTGGCTCAAGCCCCGTTCGGCTAGGTCCAGCCCTGTTTAAGGTCCAGCCCTGTTTAGCATGGCGCTGCCTTCGCCATGCGAATTGGATGCCATGGAGGGAGAAGGACAAGTGACTGGCAAGCGTGGCAAAGAACAGCCTGGAGCTGTGTGACATGCCTGGAGGTGGCTGAGAACGGCCAAGCGCTGGAGTTCGTCTCGGAGGAGCTGCGCGGCGAGGGGGAGTCCCTGTCGCCGCGGAGCTCCTCGGAGCTGGAGGCGGGTGAAAAAGACCTGGAGGCACCTCAGTGCTCAGGGAGGACGGAGTTCTTGCAGCAGTGCGTTGACAACTGCTGACTGGCCTTACTACGAGGCTACACCGCCTTCCACAACATGAGGGAGAGAGAGGGGCTGGCTCAAGCCCCGTTCGGCTAGGTCCAGCCCTGTTTAAGGTCCAGCCCTGTATAGCATGGCGCTGCATTCGCCATGCGAATTGGATGGAGGGAGAAGGACAAGTGACTGGCAAGCGTGGCAAAGAACAGCCCGGAGCTGTGTGACATGCCTGGAGGTGGCTGAGGACGGCCAAGCGCTCGAGTTCGTCTCGGAGGAGCTGCGCGGCGAGCGGGAGTCCCTGTCGCCGCGGAGCTCCTCGGAGCTGGAGGCGGGTGAAAAAGACCTGGAGGCGCCTCAGAGCAGCGCGAGGACCGGGGCTTTGTCCTGGAGGCGGTGAAGAAGACTTTGACAAAGACCCGAGCATAAGTGAAGTGGGCCGGCCAGTGCTCAGGGAGCACAAGGAGTTCTTGCAGCAGTGCGTTGAAACCTGTGGACTGACTGACCTTACTACGAGGCTACACCGCCTTCCACAACATGAGGGAGAGAGAGGTCCTCGCCACTGGCACAAGGAGCATTCGGCCCAGTCTGCGCGCACGCGAAGGCGAACGAGCCGCAACAGTGTGGTTTGATATCGATATCGAACCACACTGTAGCGGTTCTGGCGGCTCCGCCGACTTTGGCAGGTGGATGGGAGGAACCTGGGTGGACAAGCACGGAGCTGGCTCGTCAGAGCCGAGCAACCAAAGGGTGAATGAGCTCAAGCTGCCAAGGGAGTTCTTCAAGAACGGCGGCCATTCTTGAAGCCATTCTGGCCGCACATGATTGCGGTTCCGGCGGCTGCTCTGACTCTCAGCAGGTGCACGCAACTGGGGATGTGCGGGGAAAAGGGTGGAGTCTTACCCATAGCTTGTTTCATGTCGATTTGTCTTCACGCCTAGGGCGTAAACTCGTGCCTGCAATAGGTGCTCCCTAGGACACCAACATCTCTCTTTGGGTGTCTCCTATACCCCCACAATGAGAAAGCCAACAGTGACACCATTTTCTCGGAAGCGCTCACCTAGGTTTGTCTGAATAAGATATGGAACCCCCATTTTGGATGCTGTCAAAAAACGAAAGCAACCCTCCAATTGCAGTTGTCTCCTCTGGAATGTATATGTTATTTCCCTTGATTTCTAAAATATATGGTTGTGGAAGATGGGTTTAGGTTGCCAGCTTCTGTGAGTGGCCAGGGCAATCCCCTTGAAAGTGATACTAGTCATGGAGATGGGAATCCCACTTTGGTATCAGAGAATGTTTGCCCTCCCAAAAACAAACATGGAATCCGCGCATGACGCCTTAACAAAAACAACATTGCCTTCCAGGAACGCCTGGGCAGGTTCTATGTTTCAAAGGAACATGATTTTCCAGGAAACCCTGTGCAGGTGTTCGATCTGTTATTTTCGGGAAAGTTCCAGCAACAGCCCCATGTTGGTACCACAGGTCAGCGTCTTCGCCCTCCGCGGCTCAGCGCGGGGCCATGGTGCCGGTTTGTTGGGGGGATACTTGACTGCTCCACCCCCGTCAGGTAAGGTGATTTCACCATGGTGAGGGAACCAAGCTCTTGTATTTCTACTTACCTGACGTGGGTAGAACAGCCAAGTACCCTTTACTTTAAGGGGCCCATTTTGACGACACCCTTCAAAGGGCCCATTTGGCTTGCGACGGCCCGAGCTATCACGAGGTCTGGGTTGGTCTCGGACACCTGAGGACACGCAGAAAAGAGGGCTCGATCAACATATCCATGGTCCATTTGAGGCATGGGTTTCGGCAGAACTGCCCACAAGTTGTGCGGACCGCGAGTCGTCCTCACACTCACGGAGAGGAGGGCTCAGCCCGAGGTGCCGCGATATCTCGCTCGGCGAATTCATTTGCGCACATCTGGGCAAAAGGGTTCTATGTTGTGCACATGTGCACATGACAAGTCATGCACCATGTTTTTTTGGCACATGCCACTCCCGCGCACATTTGGCTTGGGAGCCCTTCTTGGGATGTAGCTTCAGTCGCAACTCCGAAATCGGGACTCGAGGTCCAGAACATCCGGCCCTCCGGGGGCCTGCCGCAGTTCTTTCCCAAGGCGAGAGCGCACCGCGGGTGCCGTGCCGCGTCTGGAGTTGGAGTTACGGTGCCCGATTTGGAGAGGAAACAGCAGGAACAGGGTGGTCTTTCTGCCACCTTGACTGGAAAGAATGGTCAACCCCCTCGTGAAGGATTCCTTCTTGAGGGGGTCGCCGATTTTCTCACGAAAGGTGGAAAAGACCCCCCCTGAGCAGGAAGACAGAGCTCCATTTATTTTGACGTCAAAGTGATGCTTGTTCCTAGAAAAAGACGCCCGCAAACTTTAGGCAGGTTCCATCAACCTCTTTGCTTCACACAGTGTGACAGTAGATAGCACATCCAATTTCCAGCATTCACACAAACACATATAACTGGGGTCTCCTCAGATAGTATGTTAGATTTTGACTTTGAAGTTGGCGAATGAAACAGGCGCCAAACAGAACATGCTTGGTGTAGGGGCCAAGGATGGGAAGCCCATCAAGAAAAAAGAAGCAGTTTTCTTGCAATCAACCAAAAAACCGTTCGGATCAAGCAAGCTATGTTAGCCATCTATCACATTCTTTCCCATGATCCCTCTGTATTGCTTGTAGACTTGTGGTCTCTTGGTTTTTTGGTGGTCCTTGGGTCCGTTGGTCCTGTCCTTTGCTTCGCGCCGTGGATCCATTGGTCAGTTGGCCCTTTTGTCCTTTGCCATGGACTCGTCCTCCGTGCTTTGGTCTTTTTTTGGTGTGTTTTGGCTGGTTGCTCCGTTGTTTTATACTTCTGGTCCTTTTGTTCTTGGTGTGTTGGTGTGTTTTTGGTGTGTGTTTCGGTCCTTTGGTTTTTGTCCGCTGGTCCTTTGGTGGGAAGTGTTGTTGGCTGGTTGGTTGGCTACCTGCCTGCTTGTTTAGTGGGCGGGGCAGTGGCACGCAGCGTCACTTTTGCGAGCATCACCGCTGCTTTTTAGAAAATTTACCCAAGCCACCCAACCCAACCCAGCCTAAACCAACCCAAGAATAAAACCCGACAAACCCTATACCAACCACCCTCTGACTAAACTACCCTAAACCTAACCCTGAACAAACCCGAAGTAAACTCTTCTCAGTGTTGGTGCAAAACAAGTGTGTGTTGCTTTCAAATGCAGTAATTTATTTGTTTTCTCTTGGTTGGGGGGGGCTGCTCCCATAAACTCGCCCTAACGACCCTCTACCACCCTGAACCTACACTAAACCACCAACAATGCCCAAAACCCACCGTAAGCCCACCCTAAACCTGCGCTAAACTCCCACAGACCCTCAACCCATCACGAACCCACCCTGAGCCTCCCCTAAATTCCCTAAAGCCGACCCTAAACTTAAACACAAAAAAGCACACCAGCTGTCCTTTAGTCCTCGTCCCATGGACCCGTAGTCCCTTGGTCCTTTGGTCCCATCGTCTCCCCTCGTCCCTCGGTTTTTTGATCCCGGTCCCTTGGTCGTTTTTGGGTCCTCCTTCGGTGCCCTTTGGCTCGTTCCAATAAGTTCTTGCTTTCATCTTTGGTGCATTTTGCCAAGGGATGTTAGGACTATTTGACCTTTAGCCAACTAAAGTTTTTTCCGTATTAAGCCACTAAAAGTTAAAAACTCTTAGCAGGGCTTCGCGGGTGTCGCAACCGAGTCATTGCGAAGGCTTGGGCTTTGGCTCCCTTGGCTTCTGATCTTCTTAGAATCGTCCCGTCCTTTCCGCCTCTCTGCTCGCGAAACCGCCCTGTTTATTTGGCCCCTGAGTGAAGAGTTGGCTTGTGACTGCTGAAAAGGTCGCAGTTGTTTGATTGGTTTTGTTTGATGGTTGAAGCAGTTGTTTGTTTTTGACACCCTACCCCAAGGATGGGGTGGGGTGAACCAAATCACCTCGGCTGCTTAGCCCCGGAGCGCGCTTCGTCGCGTCTTTGGAAAGGAGTCTTCGCAAACTCCGGCTTTCGGGGGTCAGAGGGGGAAGGGATGTGGGCTCGTCAATGTTTGAGGGTCCCCGGTGAAGGAACACAAAGAGGAAAACTCACCATTTTTGGGGAACCCCCCACAAAAAGACACACCCCTGTCATTGTCCAGCGATGCTGGTTTGAGCAAGTTGTGATAGACAACAATGGCCCACTGTTGCAATGCAATGCCACTTGGCCAGAATGGATCCCACCAGGGTTGGGGAAATGCTGTTTTCAACACTCCCTGGCCCCCCTTAGGGAGGTTGTTTCAACCTACATGAAACCTACATTGCCCCTTTGACGGGGAAACAAAAGGAGGTGGTTAAGCCAAAGTTGCTTGCACAGGCTCCTTAAAAGATACATGTTGCATCATTTTGCCCATTTGAAACATGGCTTTTCCACCAAAATAAAGGGAAACCGCCATTTACAAGGCAATGTTCAGGTGTATAATGCATCCGGATCCCTGTCGCACGTGCTTCATCAGCCAGGCCCAAGCCATCCCGAGCTTCCCGAAAGCGAAGCGATTCGGCCAGGACAGCAATTTGGGGGGCCTGCAGGACCTGCAGATGCGCCTTGCCATGAAACACGCTCGAGCCACGGAGGGAAAAAAAGGACCGCCCCCAAAAAGTGGCGAAAATCGGCTTCTGCAGAGAACCACCCACAGGTGTCAAAATCACTTGGGCCTCCTTTTTATGGGTTTTGAGGGGAAATAACGGTAAGCCACCCACTCTTCTGCACCTTTCTCCGTGCCCGGACCACCCCAAATGATCAGTCTCGTGTCCATAGTCCGATTTCGGTCGGGGACGGTTTTGAAATGCCGATGTGGGTAGCCGTTTTTTATGAGGGCACCCCAGGTGGCCCCTTTTTTGGGGGGTCTCCTAAGAATCGAGGCACTCATCTGTAGAATTCTCTCTTTCTTTCTTTCTCTCTCTCTCTCTCTGCTTTTGGGGGGAGGGGTCCCTGTCCGCGCCTTTCGTTTGCTTCTGGGGGTGGGCTCTCAAGCACGCCGCATCTTCCTTGATAGGATTGTTTTCAGCATAGCTCCGATGTCCATCTAGTGTAGCACATTTAGCAAATGCTTAGAATCCACCTTGCATTTGGCTAAGATGTGTAGAACATATTATACTTTCTCATGATTCTAACCGCACATTGGCCCATCCCTAGTCTATGCTTGAAACCAGCCAAGCACATGGATGCTCATGTTTGCTGCAGACCTTGCATGGTGCAATTCCATTTGTTGGAACATGTCTAGCTTGGACATCTTCCAGCTTCTTTCCTATCAGCTCCACTTCTCCTTGCGAATAGCTAGGGCAGATGCGGGATTCGATCAGCTTCTAGCACATTGTGCTTGTTTCTGGCATGTGTCTAGCACGTGTCTACTATGCCCGGCATATGTTGAGCATATTTTGTTGCACATTCCTAGCGTGATCCCAGCGCATGTTTAGCATATGTGTACTTGGATTGCGCTGGGACTTCAGACAACCAGCAAAGAGTCCATGTCATAACATGACCGTGGCCCACATGTGTTACGTTTGACCAAGGGGCATGTCAGGTTTTTTTGTTTTTTTTTTCTCATGATTTTATGATAATAGTATGTGCTGAAGCTTACTTCCACCATATAATTTCTGTCTAGTGAATGCATTTCATATGGAGTGTCCAGCTTAGCTGGGCATTAGATGGTTTCCAAGACATGTCACTCTACTTCCAGCATGTCACATGTCCATCCGGCATCGATGCACGCGGCCACATTATTGGCCAAGCGCAGCGCTCACTTTTTTGAAGATTTGTTGGTTCTACTTGCTTCGCATGCAAGTTGGTTTGCTACGAACTTTGATCCGCTTTGCGGAGATTATTTCGCTTGATCAGATGGCATCCACGCATTTTCCTCAAAAACGCAGCCCCATGGCGGACGTATTTGATGGTTGTGAGGGTGAAGGATCGAGTTGAAGCCTGAACCACCAGCACTTCCACGCCTCTCTTTTTACGAGTCGGGGGGAAGACGACTTGGAAAAAGTGTGATGAAGGTCCTTTGCCAGGGGACTCCGCATGTCCGATTCGGGAATTACACTACTTTGACCAGATCCTTCCATGTGGTTAAGGATTTATTTATTTATTTTTCCCCTGTTGGTTTTAAAGGGAATCTATCACTACTGGAATTATGTTTCTTTTTTCCAGGGGACTTGAGCAAATGGAGGGATCCATTTGACGTCCCGTTCCGCCCCCAGAGACTGCCGACCTAAGGCGGTTTGGCAACGAGACTTCAATAGACACTCAGGAGCGACTGTGCTCAGCTACTGCGGGTCATTTTGACTGATGGCTCGGCAGACATCCTTGCCGATGTTGGGTTTTATTCAAGGATTGTAAACTATCGTATCTTGTATTTGCTTGCTCCTCACCTCAGGGTATTGGGGCCTTCTACGAATCTGGCAAGGGCACGTATTGCCAGAAAGTCAAAGGGGAGGATGAGACATGTGTTGCAGCTTTCCACATAATACGATACGATTCTGTGGTAAAAGGTCCTCAAAGGGCGTTGAACAAGCGACCACCCTTGGCAATCCTCAGGAAACGGAGGGGTGGGACTTGATCGTTTGAGCTTCTTTGCTCTCAATCAAGGGGTCTTCCCATTTTGCACCCACGATCCTAAAGGCGAGATGGAGAGCAGGAGAAGAGAGAGAGCGAGAGATCACCCGAAACTGGGTGGTGTTCGTTGTGTTTGTTTCTTTTAAATCCAACCACAAAGAGTACCACACGCTAAACTTTTTCATGAAAGCCAGCCTCTGCGGGGCCAGTTTTGGGCTGCTCTGCTGGCTTTCTCACTCCTCTCCTCAGGTTTTCCAATTTGCCCCTGATTTTGGAGGAGGGTTTCGCTGGGCGGACGGTTGACACCTTTCCAGGGATCCTTCTTTCAAAAAAAGCCACCCAAACCCCAGGGGAAACGGATCCGCCTTTTGAAAAGAACGATGGTTGAACAGAATGTGGCCCTGGGTCAAAACCCAAATCGTACCGTGAACCTCAAAAAATCCAACCACTAAAACCGGTTCTCCCAACATGGGATCCCAAAACGGTTCGGACAACCGCCGTGTGGCCTAGAGCCTTCCCAGGAGCTCGCGCTGTGCCATGGCCAGCTGCAGCCCGCCGAGAACTGCCAGAGGCCGGTGCTCCGATGAGATTCCGAGCGCCGGTGGTCGCCGCATGCGGCGCTTTTCGGAGGAATGGGGAGTGTGTGTTTTTCCGCTGGGTTTCCCGGCAAAGCCGCCCAAAAAATCGGTACCCGCAAAACGAGACACCCTTATGTGGCAAAACTACTCAAACTCGGCACACCCAAAATGGCATTGGTGTCCTTTCCCAATGGGCACCAAGCCTCAAAAGAAGGGCGCGCTTACATTGCAAGTGGTCAGATGGCATCGGATGCCGTTCTTCCTCACCATCAGAGGTCTCTGGGAGACTCAAGTGAAAGCCAAGAGCCCAGGCCAAGATTTCCATGGTTTTAACGGCGGCTTTGGACATGTTTTTACGATACTTTCCCTTCAATAGGTCCCCGTGGTATGGTTGTTTGCCCTCCAAGAATCAGGGAAGCTGACTTTGGCAGCCAACTTTCCTCTTGGGGAACCTCTGGAACCGACTTCCATGTTGGACAAAGGGTATACAAATGGATGTGTGTGTGTGTCCAAATAGGGGAAACCCAAAAAACCTCTGGCATGCTCTGACGGCATGTGTCAAACTAGGCTAAATTCGTTTTTAGGGGGACCCCAAAAATGGGCCGAGAGGTGTTCCATGTGGCTTCCCTTTGCCACCCGACCTGCGTCCAAATTTCTCCGCCGGGGTTGGGCGCTCTTTGGTCGTTTTTTTTTTTTTCTCCAGGCCGGGGCAACCGAACCCACTGCCACTGCCGCTGCCGCCCGCCGGCTGCAAAACTGAAGGGGCGACGTGTCACACCGGTGGAACGGGGGGCGCCGAGGCAATCTGGATAGGATTTGTATCCACCAAACACTTTAGAGGCGACTGGTGGTTTGGATGGGCGGCTCGGAATTGAATTTGAACCTCTAGAGGTACTTGTTGTAGATGTCCATCCTTCCTCATCGGGCGGGTTGACCTCTGCATCCGACCTCCGGCACTTGTGAGTGGCGTTATTTGCACAGACTGTGGCTGTTTTCAAGGGCAATCTCGGGGTTTTGGTCGAATTGCTGTGAACCCCCCGGCACTTCTGGCTGAGTTGCACAAGGGCAAAGCCGTATATCTATATAGACACATGTAGGGGCACCCAGTTGTTCAGCGAACTTTCCGTGGTTTTGGGAAGGGTTCCAACCTTGAAACTCTTACTAAAGAAGGATGCCCTTTTTTCCCATGGAAATCCACTGGGCATCTGGCACCTTGAGGCCTAGGTCCAGTCCCTCGCCCGCACCGCTGCGAGCGCCCCAGTCTCGGAGCTCAAGTCACGGGAAGTCGGAAGTCGGAAGCCGCTGGACGCGGTGAAACGACGTTGACACGTGGCTCGTCTTTTGAGGGTAGCCCCCTTTTCCGGATGGTTTTAGAAGGAAGCCACAAGGCTAAACCGTTTCGGGGCATGTTGTTGGGATCCAACCCCCAAAAAACAACAGAAACACCCAAATATCTCGGTGGCATCAAAAAGGCGATGTGTCTGCGCCCTTGGGGCTTTCGCCTTGAACGTCTTGGCCTTTGAGGGGGTTCCCTTTGATTTTCCCGCCATCGAACAACACATGTGACACTTTGGATCTCTCATCCTGTTTCCCAAGGAATCTTGGCGGGACATGGACTCATACATCATCATACATCAAGCCATCGTTTTTTTGGTTTCTTTCTTTGGCGTCCATTTTTTTTGGATCCCTTTCCGTTTGTTTTTCTCTCCCTTTTTTGTGTTTTCTTCTTTTTGTTTGGCTGGTGTCCAATTTGTTTCTTCAGTTTTTTCCCGGTTGGTGTCCCAAACATCGGGTTCCAAGCCATCCCTGTCGGGGGTTTTGGGAGCGCCTCAGGCCGCCGCTCTGGCACCCTGCGAGGCGCGGTTTTGTCTTGCGCGGCTTCTCATGTGGCAGTGGGTCAAAACCGTTTTGGGATCCCCTTTTGGGGGTAGGTGAATTCACCACCCATTTTAGAGCCTATTTTAGTGGGGATTGGGATGTTCGTTGGGGGTACGGGGTTTTGATGCATGTCCATTTTTGCGCCCGGAGAAGATGCGGCGATCTTTTCTTGCTGGTGCGATAGGTAGGGAACGTGGTTGAAGGAACCGATTTTTTTGGGTCCCTTAGCAAAGCACCGGTTAGATGGTTAGGGGGCATTCCATTTCTCATTCCCTGAGCACCAGCAAGTTGTCCTCTTTCTTTTGAGTCCCCCCCCTCCCCCAAGTTGGGAGAGGAGAGGTTTTTCCCTTTATTCTTAAATTTGAGGGGGGGGTCCATTTTTTTTGGCCGAGCTGATTGATGTGTGATTCAAACCCAAGTGCTATCACCCAGTGAGCCCCAGACTCTGAGCCCTCCAAAGGTGACCTTCTTTGAACACTTTGTTGGGAAGGGTTCCCTTTAAAACCAGCCAAACCCCCAATCCATAGCTGTAGTGGTTCAGTGGCGCCCTGTTTCCGTTTTTTGGAAAGGCGCCCATGGAAAAAGAATCAACCAAGCTTTTTTCTGGGCGGCATTTGTCTTGTTGCCCATGGGCTGAGTGTCTCGAAGCCCACATGGAAACACACATGGACGCTGTCGTGGGCACCCAGCACCGTGCTAGTCCGAAAGTTTGGCTCATCCGGGGTCGACATTGCAGGCCCCTGCAGAAGTGGGTGGCTCGTCGTTTTTTTCGGTTGGACCCAACCAAAATTATGGTTTTGCTTTAGTGTCTATCTAACACCAACCAAAAGGGGTACCCTCAAAAGAACGACGCGCCCATGTGCCTGGCTTGATTTATCGTGTGAAACTTCGAGCCAATGGTGCTCGAGATTAAAGGGGACACGTAAGCGGAGGTGACCATGTCATAGGAGACACCTACAAATGGTGGGAAGCCTTTTTGCTTTTCAAAGGGTGCCCAATACAATACTCAACAGAATACCGGCATGGGCGGCTTTCAGCTTGCCTCTGGCAAGGATGATTGATCTCTATTTTGTTTGTTTCTCTCTCCCTCTCTGTGTTTTTCTCTTTCTCGCTCTGTCTTTCTCTCTCTCTCTTTCTCTTTCTTTCTGTTTTCCTCTTTTTGCCTCAATGAAGCCAAGCCGGACGGGAGGCAGGCCGCGGGCCCTGGTTTGGACCTGGGAGCCCTCAACCCTGGTTTTCATGGCTCAGTTCATCTCTTGAGCTTCTGGAAAGCAAGTCTTTCCCGCCAACTCGCCTGATTTGTTTTGGATTTTTTGGCCAAGAACGCATCCAGCGGGAAGAACAGGCATCCCACTCGGGTCCCAGTGTGGTCCCTTCGATCATTCGCCATGAATATTATGTTGGGGAACACCCTCGAAAATAGTTTTTGTGGATATGAACCCCATGTTGATGATGTCCACCAATGGGTCCACCAATTCGGGTTGCTTCGTAGTACGTCACGTACCCTAGCCCCAAGTCGTGCCACAATGGCCAATCACTCTGGTTGATCCGGCCGAATCTCGCCCACAGGCCCACACACAGACCGAGACCGCACCCTGACCGCAATATCAATGTGGGTCGGACCATTGGGGGGGGGGTTGCTCTCCGATTTCTTTCGCATGGAAGGATGGCGATGAATGTTTCATTCAGAGCTAGGACCCTTGCAGTGAGCTGTGACCAAAATCATTGAAAGTGTATCTCCAAGTTTGAGGCTGTCAATTTCAGTCAGGTTCAAAGGAGGGTACTATAGCTTGGGATCGTTTTTGCCGAAGCAACACCTTGGTCCCAAATTTGGGGGGGGGGTCCGTCTGTCGGAGATAGACCCAGAGCTCGACCTCATAGATTTCTCTGACGCGACTCCGAGAGGAGCGAAAGGTGTCATACTGTGGATGGGCGAAATCCATATCGCACCACGTGAAAACCATGGGAATCCATTGTTCGTCGGTATTTACAGGGGAATCCCCATTCCAGGGTTTCTTAGGTGGTGCAGGATTTCGTCCATACACAGTATTGCTTTTTTGAGGGTGCATGTTTGCTTCCTGATATTGAGCTAGTTTGGACCTGACTTGATTCCGGCTGTCGGGAAGTTGTGCGGGGAAGCATCCCTTACCTGTTTGTCCTGCACACCCGACCTTACTTTTAGAGAATGCACGGAAACACAGGCGTGAGGAGCCACAGAAGTGCATACTTGTTCTGAAAATGTGAGCTTGTGGGCGGGTGTGCGCTGAGGCCAGTGCAACATCCACCTCAAGCGCCGTCTCCACCTCAACAACCACCAGCTCCACCTCACGAAGCACCTGCTCCACCTCCCAAAGTACCTGCTCCACCTCACAAAGTACCTGCTCCACCTCACAAAGTACCTGCTCCACCTCACAAAGTACCTGCTCCACCTCAACAAGCGCCGGTTGCAGCGCATCAAGTGCCGGCCCCACCTCACCAAGCACCTGCTCCACCTCACAAAGTGCCGGCTTCACCGCACAAAGCACCTGCGCCGCGCCCCCAGACAGAGCGATTTCGGAAGAGCACATATTCGAGGTTTCTGGAATGCACCAGACTGGGAACAGTGAATGCACCATTCCATTGTTGCCGTGGTTGATTGAAGCACAACAAGTATGAGCCACAGCCACTGGCAAAAGCCCTCGATCGGCGGTGGACAATAGACCGCGGAAGACACCGCATGACACGTTTGCATGCTGTGGAAGGGGTGGGGGGGCTGGAACGAGACAAAACTAGGATCCCTCCCAAAACACTTTGATCTCGGTTCACAATTTCTGCACAGGATTCTCTAGGTTTGCATGCATGGTCTATGTTGCCAATCACGTGATGTGGATCGCAAGTTGCCTCAAGCCACAAGGCGCGTGAACAAGAGTTTCACGGGTGGCTCGTGTATGCTTGAGGGTAATTGCCCGGGTATCCTTGCTGTTGCTGTTCTAAAGGCAAACCAAATTGGGCGGGGGGTGCCCTAAAGAGTCACGGGAAGACATTTCCCCGTGAATGTCCAAAAGATCCATTCAAAGACTCATGTCTCTTAAAACGGGGCACCCCCAAACATGTTGCTTGTTTCCCTTTCTCCCAGAGAAACCACTCCAACAAACATGAGTAGGTGCCACCTATGGGTGTGTTTTGTGCAAAAGGAGGTCCCCACAGAAAAGGAACCTTTGGCAACGTTTCCCCACTGGACGAAGTCCATTTTACGCTGTTTGGTGGTGACTATCCACCGGGATTTAGAGGGCTTCATCCATCCAAAAGGTGCAAAGTGTTTTTTAACGCCCATCCACAGTATTTCCTTGCTCGGGTGGTTGAAGCATCACTCGCTTTCCCTGCTTGACTTTATTCAAGCTTGGGGAAAAAAAAGAAAAGAAAGAAAACCGAAACTCGAATCTGAGTAGATGGCACCATTCTCTTTGGCCAACGGGATACCATGGAGAATCTTCTTGGCTTTGAAGCTTGGGCCTTTCAACTCATGGGTCTGAGTATGGCCCCATCCTCTTGGGGAACTCTTCGCCATCCACCTCCACCCTTTCGGTGGCCTTCGGCTTTCGTTTGCGGAGCGAACCCCCGCTCCGATGCCGAGGCCGCCTCTGGCAGCTCAGGACACGGGGTCGGGGCGACAAGGCATTGGCTTCTGACTTCTGACCGGAAAGGTGCAGTTTGCCAAGGGATGTTAGGACTTGAACTTTTTGCCAACTTGTGAGTTTTCCGTATTAAACCGCTAAAACTTAAACTTTTAGCAGGGGAGCATGTTTCGCAACCGAGCTCAGTCACAGCCAAGTTCCTTTTTGATTTCCCCGCGTCGCGTTCTCCCTGCCTTTGGTGCCAAAAGTTCTCGAGACCGGATCCATGCATCCAAGCTTGAAGTGCCTTGTGCGTCTCGTTTCCGGCAAGCAAACCTGGTTGCTCTGAAAGGGTTGAACATGATGTGGCCGTGAGTCAAAACCAATGGTACCATGGGGTAGGTGCACCACCCATTTTAGTCTATTTTAGTGGGGATTGGGTTGTTCACTGGGGGTACGGGAATTTAATGCTTTGAAGAGAGGGGAGTCGCGACGGACATGCTTGACCACTCTCATATACAGTCTCCCTGAGTCCCTGGACGTTAGTCACTTTTTGGGTTTGGACCATTGTAGCGGTAAACTACGATTACAGACTTTTCTGGCCAATTCACGTGGGATGTGAGCATATGTAGATTCGCATAAGATGTATATTCACATGCTACGTGGCAGTTTCAGCCGTTTCAGCGTCAGATCAATCTGTTGGCCCTTGGGCACTCAGATTAGAAACACTTAGTTGTAACTTCAACTCGCAGCCAGAAACCCCTCAGCGCAGGACCTGGATGTTCACCTGAGGGCGGCGGCCTTGGTGCATTTTTGGGGTGAAAGGCGGTTCCGGCGGCGAAAAGTCCGCGAAAGGCGGGCGGTTTTCCGCGAGTGATTTTTCGCGGTTGGAATGGCCCAATTCCTTGGCATGGAATGCCAACGCCATTGGGCCAGGTCGTTCGTAAGCTAGGAGACCCCCAACGAGCCGATTTTTTGGACATCCCGCAGGCTGAATGCCAGGTGCGGAACCGTCAAAAGAGGTCCAAAGTGTTCGGCAGGGCTGCTTGGGGCAATCCTTTGAAAGGCGGGGATGATGTAATGTTGACCCAGGATTAATAAACCTGTCCCATTATTAGGGGAGTGTTCCCTCCAAAAGTGATGAATCCCCACTGAAAGGTGGCACCCCCCTATTAATCAACCAGGGGTTTATTAATCCGGGGTTAAAATTACAAGGATAAGTGGGGAATTGGATGGACACTGAACCAGCAACCTGAGTGTGATTCAAAGGGCTCAAAAACAGTGGCTCTCAAGTTTGAAGATTGTGCCTCAGAACACATTTCAGCTTCGTGCTGTTCAGCTGATTCAGCCTTGGTGTCTCCCAGATATGCACAGAGTGGTTCGTGATTTTTTTTTGGGGGGGGGTTGGGCTGTTGGGATCCGCATTTCTGCATAGAGACATAGAGGCAGTCATAAAATAAAGACACTGTGGTTCCTGTATCTATAATATATATTTACATATAAACATAGAGGCTATCCTGCGATTCCCCTCCTTAATGGTAAAGCAACAAAATTGGCCCACTGGATGCGCTTTGGATTGTCCCAAACATTTCTGCGTGGACGTTGCGGGAAGAGTGAACACGAAGACACATTACAAGCTTGCAGCGGCAAGCAAGCCACATTCACAGGTACTCTAACCGCAATGCCACGGATACGTTGTGTGCGGGTTGAATAAAGCAAGTAATGGTTTTCCTGCTAGTTACAAGGGACAGATGGTCTAATGTTACGTGCGACGCACGCCTCGACTTGAGGCAAATGTCAATTAAAAAACATGCAGCGTGAGTGTACTGCCTTCAACATGGTACTGCGCGCCAGGGAGAATGATGCCTGGCATTGCAAAGGCTTGCCTGATACAAGAATTCAGAAGACTTGTCAGGCATGCCATGATTTGCCCCTCAAGAGCTTTGATGGTGAGGACGATTGCCAGGAGATACCCTTTGAGAGCTGCGAGCTAGCGCATGGGGCAAGGAAGGCGCGAAGGCGCTTGAAAGCTCGAATGGCCCCACGGCCCGAGCTTCTCTCTTGGCAAAGCGCGAATGAAGCTTTGGGTTCGAATGAAGCCTTGAGCCAAGCTCGTTGGGCGGTTGGGGTGTGGTTTGGGGTGTGGTTTGGGTTCGTGGGTTGGTTTAGGGGTTGGTTTAGGGGTTGGTTTATGGTTTACAGTGCGTTTAAACTGGCCTTCTGAACCCCCCGGGTTTTCCTTCTGATCCGAACTCCGAGGTGAAGGGCCAGAAGGAGGAGCTAGAGGACCGCCGTTCGGGGCATGGAACGCCACCGGGGGCACCCACTGAAACCTCCAAGTGCCCGGGTTTTGTTCTTGCTATTGGGTTGGATCTTTAGACTTCAACTTCTTCGTTGAAATAAAGTCGTGTTTCCCACCTAACTCCCCAAGAAGTTCATAAAACAAAGGTGTTTTCCACTAAACTCCCCAAGCAGTTCATAAAACTTTTTGCAGGGGGGTCGTTGCGGCAACCAAGTTTTTGCCGCTTCCCTTGGAATCTTTCCAAGGCAGCCGGGCCCCCTCCGGCCCCCGCGGCAACCACCGCAAGCCCAGCCAAAGTCCAGAGAAGTGGAGCCCTAGGCGTCCTCTTGATCGGTTCGCTTGACTAGAAATGGATGGGTTCCGCTGGTCTAGATGGGGGGGGTGGGCTGGTTTAGGGCGCAAGGTGCACTCGGCAGGTTCAGGGCGCCCTGGGTGGGTGTTATTCCAACCAGGGCCGTCTATACAGAAAGGATACCTATGCTTGGCGCTGGTTCACCTCCTGTTGTGCCATGGGGCTGGGACAGGACCGACCTGTCGGGCCAGCCAAACCGGAAAGTCCATCCGTTGATTCGACTCGTCTGGAGTTCGGTCGACCCAAGAATCCCAACTAGGTCCCCCAGTAGTGCTCCTTCCCTCCCTTGTTTTGGGGAGGCTTCGCCTACTAAAATAGACAAAGCAGAAGAAAGTTGGTGCCCCTTCTTCTATCTGGAGGAGCTAGCCAAGATGGTGTCTTCAACTGGAAAAAAGACGGTTCCCGCCCTCCGGGGTTGGGCATGTGATTAAGCCACCAGGCACAGGCCACTTTCAAAGGGAAAGCCACGAGGGAGGTTGTTTTTTGTTTAAACAGACTTCCAAACCGTTTCCCCCTCCCCCCCTCCATTTGTTCGATTTCTCCCCTTTGGCAAGTCATTTCGTGACGGTTGCTGGTTTTTCCCCAGTCAACCTGGACTCAACCGAAACTTCGCCGCACTCTCGCGGCGAGAGGAGCTAGAGGACATGGTCCGCGCGCTTTGGCCGAAGATGGCCGAGCCTGGCTGAAAAATGACCTCACGCCAACATGTTGTTTTGCGTGGCTGCGCCAAACGAACAGGCCGTTTTCAATTGTTTTTGAGGGCCCAAATCAACCAAAGAAAGGTCCCGCTTTTTTCTGCGCAAGTTTTTCACTGGAGATCTGGGGAAAGGATCAGGGGCCTGTCTGGAGAAAAACCTCACATAGCCACGTACAGGCTTGGAAGCGGTCTTCAAGGAACACTGGCTTGAAGCGCCCTGCGTAAGTCCGACCATATCCGACCACTGTCGACCTCTAAGCTTTTACCAAAAGAGCTTTTGACCTCGCCATGATGAAGGTTGTTTTTCTTTGGCGGCGATCATTTCAGGTTGGCGAGTCACAGTTCACCCAGATCGCGCGACTCCTTTCGACACATGCGTTCCCTTTGCGCAAGGGACAGTGAATTCCCCTAAGCATTGCCGGAATTTTCGTATGGTTTCATGTTCGGCTCCTGACATACGCGCAACTTGCTTCTCTCCCTTCCTGAGTTCAACTTCAAACTTTTGGGGGGAAGACCATTTTAGTGGTAATTGAGAAGTGTGAACTTCTTTTTGGAGAGTTATTCATGCCGGCACGGCCAAAAAACCTGAAACCATACTCTACAGGTCCACTTGTTCAGTGGCATCATGATTAGGAACTGCTGGGTCTTTCCCGGGTCCCAGCTCCCCTCAAGGCAATAAGTAGCCAGTCAGACCCCCAAGCAGTGATTCACCTTGGGTTGCTCCCTATGAAACTCAACGACTTGTGACTTGTGGTGTTTTTCTTTTCTGACAGTAACTTTTCGCTGCTCAAAAGGTACAACCACAACCAACAGAGTTAGGCTTTTCTTGACTGCTATTGGGTTGGATCTTTAGACTTTAACTTATTGGGCTATCAAGTTGGGTTTTCCGCTAAACTCCCCAAACAGTTATTCACTTTTTGCGGGGGGGTCGTTGCAGCAACCAAGTTTTTGCCGCTCCTTCTTGGGCCAACCTTGCCGCTCAAAAGGTACAACCACAAAGGGTACCTCTCAAAGAAAATCAGCTTAAACAAATCGTTCAAACAAAACAAGCAGTTCAACAGTTATGAATCAACCAGTTGAAGGTTCTTTTTTCATGCCGCTCCTTTTGTCGGCCAACCGAACAGAATCCTCTCGAGGCCAAGATCCTGTCCAGCCTCCAGCTCGCGCCAGAGGACCTCCGCTTCGAGATATCAGAGGCGCCCTGTGGGCGCGGTGCCTCGTCCCTTTGTGTTGAGTGGGTCCCCCGTTTTCTGTTGGAAGAAACAGGAAACTCACAAGAAACATCACCCATCACCATTTTTGGGAGGGTTTGCCATTTTCTGGTGGTTTTAAAGGGAAACCAAATGGAACATCACCATCTTGGGGGGTCCAACCTTAAAAAGACACACCCAGCCGGGGAAAGCGTGCAGGCCATGCATTTCAGTGACAAGGTTCATTCAGTGGATTCAGGGTTTCAGTGGTCAATGCCTGGACCTCGCAGGGGTTTGCTTTCTTTGATCCATTTCGGCCTTTTATCTATGTGGCTGCGGGTCAAAACCAATGGTACCATTTTGGGGTAAGTGCACCACCCATCTTAGTCTATTTTTTGGATTGGGATGTTCGCTGGGGGTACGGGGCGTTTGACCCATGGCCATGTCAAGAGCCGAACAAAGGGGTGCCCCCTTTGTCCTAATCCACTGGGGTCTGGGCTTGAGCTTCCCAGCTTTTGGCCTGACTGCAGGATACATGTGCAGGTTCACACGGCCAGAATCGATAATCTATTGTGGGGGCAAACGTATCGGTGGATTTAACGTAGATTTCAAGGTCCCAAAAGGTCGGGATCTGAGGAGTGTCGTTTTCAGGTCATATATTCCGCCAATTGCTTCGGGGTAGCTAGAGCAATTGGGATCAAGAAAGACTCTAGGGATCAACCTTAGGTCTTTCAGGTACTCATGTACATTGGGGACGCCCTTTTTCGAGTGCACCTTTTTTCAGGTTTTACCATGGAAACCAAAAGGAAGACCAGACCTTTTTAGTGGGCCCCCTAAGAAATTGGACACACCCATTTGGAGGCATAGCCCCCAAAGGTTCGGGTAGGTTGTTGAAGGCGGACCTGGATGAAACGGCAGGGCCTTCACAATCTCGAGCCTGGGAGGAGTTTTTTTTTGGGGGGGTAGCAACTCCTCCTGTTCTCCAGTTCTTGTTCCCAGGCTGGAGATTCGAAAGGCCATGCCTGCGAAGCATCAACCTTCGCGGGAGCCGCTGCGAGATGCAAGGTGATAGCTGGGCATAGTTGACCTCATACTTGTTATAGTCTCAGCCCGGCGGATTTCCATGGGAAGAAAAGGAATGGGCACCCTGTTTTTGTTGTTGGTTGAGTTTCAAGGGGAACCCTGACCCCAAAAAAGGCCGGAACCAAGGACGCAACCGTCACAGAGTGGTCCCGATCTCCGCCATGGCCTCGAAGGTCTCGAACTGTCTCGAACGGACCCGAAGGCGCTCCTCAAAACGCATGTTCTTTGGACTTGGGGTAAGGAAATTCTCCCCCTGAGGGTGCCCCAGGTACTTCCAAACCGATTTTTCTCATGACGGCCAGACAAATCTTGACCAGTTGTGCCCAAAACCCCCAAACTCCCAAACTCCCAAACCCCAAAAACCGGCCCAAGAAACGATAAACCCACCCGAACCCCCAGACCTCTCAACTCCCTAAATCCCGAACTCCTGCACCCGAAATCCCGAACTCCAGGGCCCGGGCCGCCGGCTGGCAGACGACTTCCAGGCAGAGATTTTGGGTCTGCCGTCAGAAGAAAAAAAAGGAGAGGTCCAGCAAAAACAGAAAACTGTGGGTCAAAAATGGGTATCCATTTGGGAAACCCTGGTAGATGGAAACATGGACTAAAACCTACAGTCGCCTGGTGGTTTAATTTTGACCCACACCCAACACACTCCAAAGGCTATTTTCAGCTGGGCTCAACCAGCCATTTGGTTGCTTAGAAAACCTTTTCAGCTCTTAAAGTTGGTTTTGTGGGGATGTCCGAATTTCACCCGAGTCAAAGTTTTAGTGGATCTGAAGGCCCAGTCATGGGTTTTGGAGGTGCGGCCATACACTTGAGAGTGTCTATACTGCGCAAGTCCAGGCCGCATACCTGACATTGACACAAGGCAACAAGGACATTTTTTTTGGGGGGGGAGGCAGATTTTTCTTGTAGCCAACCTTGCGGCAGAGGCTCCACACTTTTGCCGAAGTGGCTCCACACTTTTGCCGAAGTGCGTGTGGGTGTGTGTGAGTCCCACTGCGGAAGGGCCACTGTTGGATGCGCTTGCCTCGTGTTCAGTCTTGGTGCCACGTTTTTTTTGCCCAGACTGTTGGCGTGGCAAGGCCATGGACTGTTTGGTGTTCAGCTGCATTTGCTTGAGACGCAGCTGCTATCTCTCTCCGATGCAGAGGATATCTGCCCTGACATCAATCGTGCAGCATGCATGAAGACAAGTCCAGAAGAATCTAAGAATGAGGAGGAGGCGGAGGACAAGGAGGAGGAGGAGGAGGAGGAGGCGGAGGAGAAGGAGAAGGAGAAGAATGAGAAGAAGGAGAAGGAGAAGAAGAAGAAGAAGAAGAAGAAGAAGAAGAAGAAGGGTAACTTGGACAGCTCTACCCCGCTGTCTGTTTCTTGTGATCTCTATTTGCCGGTCTTTTGCAGGCAAAATTGTCACTCGTGTGTTGTTATTTTTATTGTTCTTCTTCTTCTTCTTCTTCATTGTTTGTGACAGCTTTCACGGAAAAAATAAATGCTGATATGCACGTGAGGACTCCAAAAGCAGCTTCCAGCAAGCAAACAAGAAGGAAAGCAAGCAAGACCTGCCAGGTTGACTCCCACACAGAAGCTTGATAGAGCAACAGCCGGGGCCACACACCCTTGGGCACGGAGTGCCCAGCGTTCTGTGGATCCAGTTGTGTTTTTTGTTGGTGCGATAGCTAGGGAATGAGGGAATGAACCGGAAGCTTCGGGTCCCCTGAAAGGAAACCACCAGTTGGATGGTTAGAGTTGTTTTCCCATTTCTCCTTCCCTGCAACTCTCGCACCAAGTACCGTTGGCGACCCGGCCGTGCCATGGCCAGACCCGCAGGTCACGCTCCATTTCCAGCACTTGTCTGCGGAGAAGGACGGGGAAGGCCCCAAAGATTCAGAGATAGAGTGTCCCTATGGGTGTGTCTTTTAGAACGTCGGGGACCCCCAAAATAGTGTTGTCCCTTGGTTTCCCAGTTTAAAACCACCAAAAAAGGGGTACCCTCAAAAAAGACAGACCCATATGGGTGTGTCTTCACTCGAGGGTACCTCTGTTTGGTGGTTTTAAAGGGACGCCAAGAGGAAGACCACGATTTTGAAGACAAGCCCATTCTTCCCAAAGTTTGCCGGCCGATCCATCGCCTCTTCAGGGCGACTTTGGTGGGTTGGTAGGCAGGAAACATAGCGAACAGTGAGACGACTACGGTTTATGCATCAGAATCAGAAGGTCAAACATAAATGAACTCAGGAGTTGTCTTTGAAACACGCAAACGGTTGACACAGACACACTGAGACGCCAAGAGAGAGAAAGAGAGAGCGAGAGAGAGCGAGAGAGAGAGAGAGAGAGAGAGAGCGAGGGAGGGATGGAGGGAGAGGGAGACAGAGCCACACAGAGAGACGGACACACAGACTCACGGACACACAGACGCACAGACACAGACAGGCACACACACACAGACATGCAGACATGCAGAGTTTAGTGTATTTTACTGGTTGGATTGGGATGTTCACTGGGGGTACGATTTGGATTTTGACCCATGGCCATTTGGCTTTCGGCCATGTTTCGACAGGAGCGAGAGGTGAAGACGTTCCTGAAGCAGAACCAGGAGCTGCTGTCGCTCTTCGGCGCTCGAGATGACTCATTCAGTTCGACTGCCAGGCCGATCGATCAAGCTTTCCATGTTGTTTTTGTCTAGTGATAGTATGGGGAGGACATGTCTAGGGGTTGATTCCCCATTCTTTTCAACCATCGTTCTTTCAAAAAACCAGCTGTTTCCCCAGGGTTTTGGGTGATTTTGTAGAAAGAAGGATGCCTGGAAAGAATGGGGAAGGTACCCCTAGAACATGGGCAAATTGGGGAGCACCCAATTTTTTCCCACGTCTCAAGATTAAGGACACAACAAGCATGTCTTGTGCTTGCGTCGTGACCGGACTTTGTGACCTGAGGGAATTTCTCTCTGTGGCCTTCCATCATTTCCGAGCGCCCCATGCGTTCGGAATGGGGAGAAGCACGCGCAACCTTTTTTTGGTGGGTTGCTGTGGTGGAGGGGTCCACCAACCATTTTTGAGTAGGCCCCTAAGTTGGGAAGCGTTTCGCGTTTTTGCTTATTGTGGTTTAGTGGGAAATCCCCACTTAACTGCTAAAATTTAATTGTTTGCTCCCCTTCCAATCAACCAAGGAAAGATGAGGTGGTTTGACCTCTGATCGTCTGACCGTCTCCTCGCCCGCGAGGCCCTCTAGCACAATGCCGAGGGCTGTTACACCTGCTCCGGCGGCGGTGCCAGCTCAGGCCCCGATGAGTCAGAATCAAGTCCCAGGTGGATGCGAATATGCGCCGCCTTCTGTGCCTTTTGTTTTTGTTTTACGTGGATGGTAGAGCAGAGGAATGCCATGTTTTGATTGTGACTGTACTTAGAGGTTAGGTCAAAGCTTCCAGTCCAGTATGGGCCTAGGTAGCCGAATGATGTTGCGGAGTACAGCTTTTCGCAAATGATCATCATGCTTGTAGTTGTTTCCCCTCAGATGTTTGGTCAAATTGGGGGAGACAGGAACGCCGTGTTTCGATGCGATTGGTGCCTGAAGGATGCTAATCGAGTTCTTGGTTTTCTCGTGGCTTCCCTCAAGCAAGTCCTTGTGGGACACATTTTGGTTCCTTCAATCCTGAACCGGATGCCATGTCACAGCCATTTGGGCCGACTCAGTTTGCCGCCCGCACGCCGGTTGGGGCAGGTGGACATCTGGGCTTGCTGGGGTTGCGACAGCTTGCCAAATGAGTTGGTTCTCTTACACAAGTTGTCTATGGACTTGGCTTTTCCTGGACCATAGTTCTGAAGCTGCGACACTTGGCTCCCATTTAAGTTTGGATCTTTGAGCTTCATGACTTTTTGGCAGGGAACATGTGTAGATTTTTTCCCCGCAAACCAACCAAAAGTCAACCATTGAGCACCTCAGGGAGTAGCAGCCAGCAAGAGCTTTGGTCGCCAGGCGCAGCATCCGCCGCCGCCGCCGCCTCCGCCGCCGCCGCCGCCGCCGAAAGCGCCAACGCCAACGCCGCTGGCTCGGAGGGGTCGCCACAAATGGGTGCCCCTCGCCTCATTTTGAGACACCCAACGACCCCCTGCAAAGTGTTTGATGTTGCTCACTACCATCGATGATATTTTTTCTACATACTCTTTTTCACTATTTAAGCAGAACTGGGCATAAACTTATATCAGCTCACATTAAGTTCTCAAATTAACTCACGTACCCGCACGTACCTACTCTATCTCCGACACAGCTTCCGATATATATATATATATACACATATGTATGGGGGCCGTCCGTAATTGCATGTCTAAAATTTATGAACCGCGGCAACTTGTTGAACAGCGCGATTGGTAAAGCGCGAGCCGCGAAAGGCCGGCGATTGGACCGCGAAAGGGCAACACAATTATATGAGTTTAGACGTTGCATGGTGCCCACGCACATCGCGCTGATTTTGACTGCGCGGGCTCGAGCAAGAGTTCCCTTTGGAGTCCAAGAAGTTGATTTCGTTTGTTCCAAATCTGCTTGCTGGCAAGGTCTGCAAGCTGCAAACCGAAGTTTTGCCGCCGAATTCCGTGATTGGACCGCGATTGGACGGCGATTGGACGAGTTCCACCAGTGAGCCCCTGCCCATCCGCGCTACGTCGCCTCCTTCTTGTTTCCAGTTGTATGCAGGAAGGCCAGCGCTTGAGATAAGACGGCTAAACTCGATGCCCAACGTTGCTCCGCGATTGGACTCTGCGGGACCGCGATTGGATCGCGATTGGCCGGCGATTGGGGGGGTCCCCAGACAAAATAATTTTGTACAACCCCCATATATATATATAATATGATTAGATTAGATATCCTCCACATAGCAAACTTACAACCCCTTCTTACAAGCCCCTGCCTTTGGCTTCAATCGTGGAAGTGTTGATGCGCAAGTCAATCCTTAGCGTTTGCCTCGTCACGCTAGTGTTTCTGGCACATTTCAGCATCAGGAACAGTTGGAAAGGCCCGACTCCGGCATGCGCCGGAAATGTTTTGGGGCCCAGAGTGTGCACCTAAGAAAGATTCCCCTGCACATCCTGATGCCAACAAGCGTTATGGTTTCAGCTGTGGTTTCATGTCGTGGTGCAAACGGTTTTTTGTCATCCACACATGATGACCTTTGACACGGATCGGCCGACAGCTTTGTACGGGCGTTTCAAAGCCCAACTGAGGACGACGACGACGACTGCGGCGGCCCCACCGGCCCGCGGTTGTGGACGCGTGCCGTGTTCATCTCATTTGTAAGCTTCCGATGGTCGGCAGATGACGTGCACTGACCAAAAGCACAAGTTCCATGAAACGCCCGCGAATGGTAACTCAGAGTCATCCATACATGTTTCACAGCTAAATTCACAGGGCGCTCGGCTGTTTGGGTTTGGTTGGGGTGTGCGGTATTTTCCAACCATGTCCCGAGCAGCTTTCCGGCGCGAAAACCGCCGCTTTCGCCGAAAGCTCTGAGGCGATGCCCGCGTTGCACCTAAAGAAGCGCGGCATGACCCACGACCGCCGGGCCCCCAAGAACCTCAAGCTGGGAGTTTTTTAACACCAAATCCGGGGTGGGATCAAGTGGTTTTTCCTCACTGTGATTTCTGATGCCCTCCTTTGAAATCCATTGGTGTCCTTTGGTATCCCCATTGGTTGCAAGAAGTTTCTTTGGGGATTTCTTTGGGATATAACCACTTCCTTTGCTTCTTTTTTGGGTTTCTTTTGGGTTTCCCTGTCGCCGATTTGTCAGGGGCATGGAATTTAGGTCAGGCGATCATCAGCGTGCTCTTCGGCGTGCGCCAGGCGGCCGCGTGAATAGCGTCACGCAAGCCCCGTTCTCCTTAAAGAGGAGTTTGGGGGGTGTCGTGGTTTGTGGGGATTCTTTTTTTTTTTTGGGGGGGGGGAACCAACGGTGTTATTTTCTTTGCTTTTGGGGGAGGAAAACCAGAAGCCAGCACAGAAGCCATTGGGGTGTCCAATCTTAAAACAGCCACTCAAATGGGATGACTCTATATATGAGCCTCGGGCCAGGCATGGACAGTTGCAATTCAAGTCCAACCACTGAGGTGAAGTTCCAACTCAAAATCATCGCCAAATAGGAGGTTTTTTTCGGAGGCTGGAAAGGACAAGGACGCAACCTTTTTTGGGAGGTCACAGGGTGCATCTCCTGCAAAATGATGGTTTTCCTCCTTGTTTTCCCTTGACACCACCAAAACGGGCTACCCTCAAGACAGGTTGCACCCACATGTCCACTTCAGCGTGCTTGAGGAGGGTCATTCGACTATCTGGCTCAGCCGCCAATGAAGGGAGCTTGAGACTGTCCTGGAGTTGTTTGAAGTTGTCAGAATGTCACGTTCTTCGAGATATGGGCCATGGCTCAAAAGTAAGCCATCACAAGCCGGCAGGATTCAGTCCATGTTTTTATTTACCAGGGTTCCGTTTTGAGTACCCATTCGTCGCCAAGCGGAAAGTTGTCAGTCCCACAGAGGCTGAGGGAATGGTGCTCGACTAGTGTTGGTTGTGATACTTATGTGCCCCTCAAATTGTCGAGGGACAGATGTCCTTTCAAACCTGACGGAGGCGTTGTCGAGGAGCATAGACTTCGGAGTGGGTCCATCATGCAGTGCCTGACAGGTCATTCTAAGCAACATAAAGATTGGGCTGCCGCGAGGCTGACCTTGAGCTACTCACTTGTTTTTTCATGAAGCAGTATATGTGTGTGTGTGTGTGTGAAAATACGGATCCCAAGAATACTGGCCTTCCTTCTTGCATCATTGCTTTAAACCACCCCAAAACGGGTCCCCTCAAAGAAACACACACGCACATGTTTCTCAAAACGGTGGTTCGCTAGAATGGTACTGGTTGGTGTTCTTTGCCGTTCCCTACGAGTAGAAAAACAGGGGGTCACCAGTTTGTGAAAACCCTGCCATATGGAATTTTTCGCCGATTCCATTGGTTCCTTGGGGGGTTCCCTGCGGTTCCTCAAGGACCCAAGACGCCCACCCCCCCCTTGGGGATACCTCAGATCCCCTGGAAAAAGTTCCGTCGGGTCAAAAATTCGGAAACCCACCTACAAACACCTAACTAGGTCCCCCAGTGCCCTTTCTCACCCCTTTGTTGGTTGGGAGGGTTCCCCTACTAAAATAGGCTGCAGCAAAAAGTGGGTACCCTTCTACCCTGGAGCTCGCCTCAGGAACCGGAGGAATCGGATTCTGGGAATTTCCTTGCGGATTTGGGACCCGGGACCGGACTCGATCCAGACGCGGAGGGATCCGCCAGGTGCCTGGCAGCAGCTTCGAGTACGAGCTGGATCCCAACTTCGACCTCTCCGCCCGCCAGGAGATCCACGAGTCGATGTCTCGTCTGAGCCGGGGAGCTGTGGCTATGAAGTTGTCCGCTGGTTTTTTCCTTGGAACACCAACCAGAAAGGGGTAACCCCCCCCCCAAAAAAAATGAAGAAGTAAAAATAAAATTAAAGTCGAGCACATCGAGTTGTTTCAAAGGACACCAAGGTCCTCTCCTTCCAACAGGCCTCAACATGGGGGTGTCATGTTCAAGGAACTTTTCTGTGTGGGTTGGTTTTTCAAGGGAAGCCAAAGGAAACCAGCTCGAAGAAACGAGACAGCAAGCTACCCTTCCCATAGCCTTGGCTCTGGTCCCCGAAAACCCTGAAAAGGACATTCCCTCCGCCTCAAAGGAGCCACACTAAATCCGAGGTTGTCTGAATGCACGAGCCATGGAAGGAGCCGGGTGCCGAACCTTTGACCCAACACACCAGTTTCGCCGTGCATCTTTTTGGCGCGGACCGACTCCTGAAAAGGGGCGGATTGAAGGATGGGGTAGGTCTATTTTACATGGGCGTGTCTTTAAGGTTGGCCCCCAAACATAGATCTCGGGTGTCCTGCTTGTTTTTTTTACAAGGGCAACCCTTGAAATGGGTTTTGCTCTTTTCAGCACCAACTCAAAAGACAACACATCAAGAGGACCCTTCGAATTTCGTTGTTTTCCTCACTTCCTGAGTTCATGGACTTTGAACTTTTGGGCCTAGACCATTTTAGTGGGGTTTCCACAAGCAGTCCGGCTACTTGTGTTGGTCGCCATCCACTAGAGCGGAAGCTGGCGGATTTGGGCCAAGAAAGATCGAGGGCCCTTGCTGTCAGTGGTGCTCTGTGAACAGAAAATGTCGCGGGGGTCCGCGCGGGTTTGGGTCTTTGTCTCCATACACCAAGGGGTTTGGGGTGCCATTTTTTGAGCAGCCAGTTCTTTTCTGTGAAAAAAGATCAAACAAGCACAAACAGATTCGGGAGCTTCGATCTTGATCGCCATCTCGATGGGAAGTGAGTGAGTTTCCTTCGGCCTTTCTTGGGCCGAGTTCGATCGGAGGCGAGTTCCTTTCCTTTGGGCTCAGGCTTTTTGTTTGCTTGATTGCTTGCTTGCCTGCTTGTATGCCTTGCGTGTTTGTTGTTTGCTCACTTGCTAGCTTGTCCGTCTGCTTGTTTGCTTGTGGGTGTGGTTGTTTGCTTTTGGGCGAACGCCAAAGACCTCGGCCGCGCGGGCCACGTCGCGCGCTTTCTTTTGGCGAGGCGCAGATGGCGGTGGTGGACTTCTGCGAGCGCCTGCCGGAGCAGCGGGGCCTCAAGGCGGGTCGCTTTCGCTTCCCCCCCCGCCCCTTCTCGCCCCCCCCAGGCCTGCGTTGGAGTTTCTAGGGGTTGATTCCATTCTTTGCAGCCATCGGTCTTTTCAAAAACCAGATGCATTTCCCTGGAAAGAATGGGTTTCTTACCCCTAGAGGGTTGGGTTTCTCTTGCTGTGATTGGACGACCCTTAGGGATTCCACAATGTGTTAATTTTTGTGTTCGTTTCTTTTTGCCCGAGATTGCTTTAGCTATAGAAACTATTACTTCAACATATAAAGTTTATTGTTTCTTCGATGTGTTGTGCTCGATGGTTTTCTTGGTGTTGTCGAGTTTGTGTTTTGTTTTGCCTACTTGGTATAGTTCGCTTTGTTTGACAAGGTGTTTGTTTGTTATGCATAGACTGACTTATTTGTTGTGTTTACATACGCATTGGCTTGTCGTGTGTTGCTTTAGTTTGATTGTGCGTTTGTGTGCTGTTTGTGCGTTTGTTTGGATATGTGTGTTAGTTAGATAGTTAGTTAGTTAGTTAGTTAGTTTGTTTGTTTGTTTGTTTGTTTGTTTTTTTTGGTTGTTTGTGTGTTTGTTTGTTTGTTTGTTTGTTTGTTTGTTTGTTTGTTTGTTTGTTTGTTTGTTTGTTTGTTTGTTTGTTTGTGTGTTTGTTTGTGTGTTTGTTTGTGAGTTTGTTTGTGTGTTTGTTTGTTTGTTTGTTTGTTTGTTTGTTTGTTTGTTTGTTTGTTTGTGTGTTTGTTTGTGTGTTTGTTTGTGTGTTTGTTTGTTTGCTTGCTTGCTTGCCTGTTTGTTTGATTGTTTGTTTGCTTGTGTGTTTGATTGTTTGTTTGTTTATTTGAGATTGTTTATGTTATCGTGTTGATTGTTTGTTTGTTTGTTTGTTTGTTTGTTTGTTTGTTTGTCGTGGATTATTTTGTTTGCTTCTCCGGCTTGGACCCTTGTCATACATGCATCATATAGTGTTTGCTTTTCCAGTTTTCTTTGTGTACGTGTGATTGGTGCCTTTGTGTGTGTGTGTGGTTTTGACCTTGGGTTTGAACGCTACCCGGCACACTCAAAAGCGGTCAAATGCTGATTTGGAGCCAAGATTCTTTGCCAAAGGAGAGTCATGGCCAGTATTTGTCCCGAATTCCCCCTGTAGTCACTGATGGTCACTATCAGTGCGCTATCTCCCAAGTACAGTGCTCGGGTTTGAAAGCTTGTCATGCGAATGTACAGCTTGCGGATGATGTGGATCACGGGTTGGCCATTTGGACAATCAGTTTCAGCAAGTGATTTCAGTGGTTCCTTAGTCGAAGCTGATTTCAGTGGTTCCTTAGTCGAAGCTGTGATTGGTTTACTCCCCCACAGATTGACATGGAGCCCCTGCAACCTCATAGAGAAATTTCCTTTTGGGAAATGGATAGCGCGTGTGGCTTCTGTATCAGTTGCAGGGGAGCAATCTTCTGGATCCCCGCGGCTGGGTGTACCACGATCGCGTTCTTAGCGCGGCGCAAACGCCACAGGTGGTCCGGGAGTTGTCAAACTGCTGGCCCAAGATGCTCAAAGCCTTCCTCCAGAAGCATCTTGGCCTGAATTTGCCACACTCAACTCTGACCAAACGTAGAACCGGCTCGCAGGTTCCTGGAAGATAAGGTTCCCTTGTTTAAGGGGATCCCTGGTTTTCATGTTATGTTTTGGGAGGGCAACTTTTTGCTTTTTCCCTTTTGGGTTTCCTTTGTTTTCCATTTTCACCGGCAACAGCCAGCGGCTTCTTGCATTAAGTCAAGCCTCGGATTGTTTCGTTTTGGCCGTGGCCTGAAACAGGGTTGTCGTTGGGAAACATTTTACATTTTTGCTTGTTGTGGTTTAGTGGGAAATCCCCACTTACCTGCTATTTATTTTGTTTTGCTCCTTTTCCAACGTCGACTCAAAGTGTGTGATTGGAATCGGTCGAACAAACAAACGGCAAGGATCGCGTTGACCGCTTTCTTTCTTTTTCTCCAAGGTGGCTCCCAGCCATCCGGCTCAAAAAGCTTTTTGGTGGGTTTTTGGTTGGTTTTGTGGTTGGGTTTCCATTTGAGCAGCGCCAAACACCCTGACAATACAAAGTAGTAAAGGGGGGTGTCCTATAGAATCCCCGCGAAAGCCAAAACGCAGGCCGCGAAAGCTTGCGAAAGCTTATCGCGAAAGTAACCAAAGAAGGTCCCGCCGCGAAAGACCCGCGAAAGCCTGCATGCTGTGTGACAGCCCGCCGCGAAAGCGTCGCGAAAGCAATTCTAAAGACAACAAAGCCCGCGAAAGCAAAACATGGGGTCGCGAAAGCATCGCGAAAGGGTCCGCGAAAGCAAGTTCATAGGACCGCTTTTTACGCAAGAGTATTTGGCACGGCTCATTTGAGCCACAAGTTAAGGGTTTAGCTGTTTAGCCGGGGATCAGTTTGCACAGCCCAGTGTCCCCCAAGCTGCCCCCTGCCGGACTTGCTGCCCAGGCGGTTCCAGGCATATCCCACCTATGCCTTTTGGCCCTGGCTGCGGCGCTTTCTGGTGCAGGCCCGTGAGGTAAAGGGTGGGCTGAAGGCCGCAAATTACGCGGATGGACCATCTGAGTGGGGGGAGCTTGCATGGAGGCAACCAATTGATCATCGTTGATATGCAGGTTTTCTTGGCGAGAACAGTATCGCGAAAGCGTCGGGTGCAGTGCTGATGTATGGAACACCTTGCTGGTCTTCCAGACAACCGGGTGTTCGAAGACCGCATGCAAACCAGCCCTCCATGGAAGCCGCGAAGCCCCTGAGAATGGGGAAGAAAGGCAAGCCGGATTTGCAGATCAGGTTCCCGTTTCCGCATGAGAATGAGACATATGGGGCAGAAGCATATTTTTCTAATCTACCCTTGCTGGTGCTCAGGGAATGAGAAATGGAATGACAGCTATAAGCCATCCTGTATGGTGGTTTCCTTCAAGGGAATCCCCAGGTTCATTCCCTCATTCCCTCAGCACCAGCCAGCTTCTCGGTTACGTCCTTCGCTCTCCCCCTTCGCCTCGCAGGCTCCCAAGTGGGTTCACGACCACATGGGCACAGTGCAGGCCTCGATACCGATTTGTCGTGCAAATAGGAGTTGAAACCCTGAAACGGGTGGTGTTTTTTGGGTGGGTGTCCCGGGTTTCCCTGCAAAACACACATTCTAAAACGGGTACCCTCTCCAGAGAGACGATTGAATTGACGGGGAAAACCAACAACAAGAATATGAAGCAACCTCGCACCACCTCGCACCACCCCTATAAACCAAAAACACTGAATTGTTCGGGACCACCCCGCACCTCACTCTGAAGCAATGAGGGTTGACGGTTTCCCCCCGTTTTGAACTTCAGTTCGGCCTCGGAGCCTCTGAAAGGGATTTTGGTGTTTTTTGTTTTGGCGTCATGGACACCAACCCCAAAAAGGTGAAATTTGAAAAAACGGAGGCACACATCAAGTAAAGTACAGAAGCAAACCATTTGAAACAATCCTTCTATTCAAGTGCAAACACGTTTTGTCAGAAGATCCTCCCCAGTTTTCGTGTTTTGCTCGGCACAGAGCTTGCCAGAAGCAGCGACAAGCCTATGAAACCTAAGCAAAACTGGTGGGAGATTAGGGTAGGTTCAAATTAAATACTTCGAGACATATATATATATATTAAAATATATATATATATAAACATATATATATATATATTTATTTATCTATGTTATATATGTATATATTTCCCCAAGCAAAGGATGAAACAATTCGCCCGCGATCTGAGGATGCGGACTCCGTGACCTGGCCACGGCCTTGTGCCATGTGAGGGACAGAATCCGCGGAGTTGGGCCGTACCGGCCCCCAGTCTTGACCGTGGGAGACTGTTTAGACTTCGTGGTTGAAAGTGATCTTGTCGGTGGTTTTCCCAACTGGGCATCCCTTTTTTCATGGCCCTTTGGATCAACCCCCCATTTAGAGGATCCCTGCCTCATGTTTTGCAAAGCCTCGCTTTGCAAAGAATAAGGAGACACGTAGCTCTTTTCTCCTTGCATGGTGTGTCAGAGCCTTTCGACCGCAGCCAATCCCGGATTGTTGGGCCCCTTTTGGGCGAGCGGCACCGAGCCACGAAGGCAGGCCGACATTGCCCTAGGAATTGAGGATCTGTCTTGACATGTGTTTTTTTGATTTCACGGTTCACGTAAGGATTTTACCTTGCAAATGGGCCCAGCGGCTTGTCCCAGGCTGCAGTTGGACTACCACGTGGAGCTGGACATTTGGAGCACCGGGCGCCAGGTTCAGCTTGGGGGCCCAGAGCGGGGTTTGGAGAGTTGGGACTGAGACTGGGATCCTGGGACTTGAGTCCAAGCTCATTCTTTTCAAAGTTCAGCCGTTGCAACCTGGGTTTTGAGTCCTGGAAACCAGTCCCTCCAACAGGTCGTTCTTTTTTCCGCGGGTTCTTGAGGGTTTCCTGAAGAAAAGAAGGATCCCTGGAAAGAACGGGAAAGCTTCCCCTAGAAAGATAAGGAATGTCAACCAAGGATGACAAGGTCAAGCATCCCACAGAAAGATCTCCGAACAACCAAGCTGTCCACCGAAGGCTCGGGACCCTATTAAAAATAAAGTCAAACATATCGCGGATGGAGATGGGAGAAGGGTTTACAGGTGCCCGACTGTGATCTCGTTTTCTTTTTTTTTGAGTGAATCTTGAAGTCTTTTTGCCCAGGCGACAAGGGGTGCTTCGATGTGAGCGGTTCGATTCGGGCATTTTCTTGTTCCGCCACCTGGGCGTTGGAACGGGCCGGTGCTGAGCTAGTCTACCTGTCGGTTTGCGGGAGACTTCGCTGAAGGCAAAGAAACCACTCCTCCCTTGTCTATGGATTTGATTTAAGCTTCACTGCCTACTTACACAGCCCTAGAGATATATCTCACCTACACGCCCTATGTAATCGGATGCTTTTTGGGACTGTACCAGCCCTGAACCCCTTTTTGACCATGGACGGACCAATGGTCGAGCCGGAGTGGGCCTGACCGTTGGAAAGCTCTGGGTATGCAAGCTGCTCGGGAGCAGACCTGACCGGGTTTACGCTTGATCCCCTCAGAAGAAGAAAAAAACACGATTGTCGAATTTGTTCTTTGAAGGATACGTATCCTCACCAACGCCAAAGAATGTCTTGTTTATTCATGCCCAACGTTGTTGTTTTTTTCAAGGAAAGCCCAAAGGTGGTTTCATGCGATGAACACTGACCCCTTAGGTTTGAGGACACGTTTGACCGCAATTTGGGCCAACCAGACCTCCAGTTTGGTTTTGCCCCCTTCTGGGGTGTTCCTTTCAAATCTGAACGAAGTATGCAAAGTGATTACCTCCAGTGCCCTTTTCTCCCTTTCAAGGGGATTTAAGGCTTCCCTTGAAACAAGTTAGCTTCCCCAAAAAGCCGATCGACATCCACTCGAAGTTTGGACGGATCGAGGCCGTACATGGATTTGTGGGCCTGAGCCTCAGACTCGAACCCAAAAAGCGGGTGCCCCCCAAAAGCTTTCCTTTAGTGAACCAAAAAAGGATACCCTCAAAAAAGGATACCCTCAAAAAGGATACCCTCAAAAACGACACACTGGGAGTGCATGGGTGCTTCCTTTGTCAGTCTGGCACGGATCATTTCTATGGTGGTTCGTTTGGAACATCCCGCAAACGCACTGAGTCCACGACATTCCCACGCACCCAGCACAAACAAAGTCTGGCCGCAGCTCATGTCAGATATCCGGACTAGAAATGGACTTGTTTCGGCTGTGAGGAGAGCTCTGCTTGATCAGGTTTGTGTGTGGTGTGGGGGGGGGCACACTTTGTGTCCAGTTGCCTTTTGAAAGTTAATACATTTGAATCAGCGCTGGAAGCAATTTTGGGTGGCTGTCTATCACACCTTTGTTTCTTCTGTCGAAAGCCTGTGTCAGGAGAACAAGAGAATGAGAGATGAACGATTCATGGACTGGAAAGAGCCTCGGATGTTAGGATTTCAACTTTTTGCCAACTAATCGGTTTTCCGTATAAAGCCACTAAAAGTTATTCACTTTTGGCAGGGGAGCAGGAAGCAACCGAGATTGGACGAGCCAGTTGGAACACTTTAGGATGCTATTTGGTCAGGCATTCGCTTCTCAATGCTGAAACCGCCGCGCCAGGTGGGGGAGGGGGGGGGGGGACGGGAAGGGATAACGGCGAGGAAGAGTCCGTGGCCAAAGTTCTGAAGGAGATCAAGGAGAAATTCGGTGCGGCCGCTCAGACCGCGGAAGGGAGCTTTCTATGTCAACGGCTTGGGTTACAGGACATTCTACAGGAAAACATCTTATTTACGGTGTTTGGGGCAATTTCCTGTAGAATTTCCGTTCTGGCCACCGCTTTCGGAACCCCACTTTAAACCAACCCCAAAACGGGTATCACCAAGTCTCCACACCCAACTGGGAGAGAATCCGATCAATTTCCCTCCGCAGAAACCCTTTTCGGCTCCAGGCGCTATGATTGCTGCGTACATTCGCAGGCTTGTGAGCAATTACTCAGCGAGCCCACAGCACTCCTTGTCAGGCGAGTCTGGGTGTTGTAAAGCGTAAGGCTGCAGGCCTTGAACTGAACAACCTGAGTAACTTGAGATCAGTTGGGCCATGAGCCCAGATGCCCACCGCAACCTGAGCTTCAACATTTGCGTCATTGCCACTTGGCTTGAGCTCGAGGAGTACATAGTCCTTGTTGACTATTTGCTGGTTCCGTGCTGACCAAAACCCACAGCCAGTAGTCACCAAGACAGCAGCAAGGATTAGGCATCTGCTGCCCAGTTTGTTTTTATAGGCGAGATCCTTGATGTACGATGCTTTAGCCACAAACCCACCTTGTGCGCAACCCCTCGTGGACGGACGAGAAATCCGCGCTCCTAATAAGAAAGGCTCGCACCGATCCCCTGTTCCAGATTTGGGCAACTCCCATGTTCACTTCTGAGAAGGTGAGAAGGTGTCCCGATATGAACCCCTTAATTGAGACAGACTCAACACATTTGGGTTTACTTGCAACCCCCATCACCCTTTGGTGATTAGATGCTTCCCCGACAATATCTATGGACAGTTCCAAGAAAATTGCGTCCCGTTCGCGCGGGACTCAACGACCGAGCACCATGTTTGCTTCAGCCAAGCCCATCAAGACATCCCGTGAGGCCTCAGCTCTTGGAGCATCTTCCTGACATGACCAAAAACAAGCTTTTCTTTTGGACCTCCCTCAAGGTGTGCATTTTCGGGGACGGTCCCACAACTTGCCCTTGGGAGGCCTCCCCTCTTCACCTTGCTTGTTCGTGTGAGCAATCTATCAGATGATTTGTTTGGTTCGGCCCCCATCCTTTTTTGCAGTTTGATAAGTGTTGGTTTCGCGTGGTCCTTTCTCGATGCCTGGTGGCGCTCTTGCCGGGCGTTCGTGTGAAGTAAAAATGGATGTTTGCGGCTCGAGGCCGTTTCCAAGTTTGGTTGAATTGGAATTCAAGAAGAGGCATCATTTTCACGCTTGCCACATGCCGGAATTTGGCATGTGCGAAAGCAGCCCAGAACTAATCCGAGGACAGCACAGATGTGAAGAGGGAGAGCATCAGCCTGGCGGAGGCCGTCACGCAATTGCAGGCCGCACGAGTTGGAGATGCTTTGCGTCTTGCGCGATTTGGCGTTCACCTGTCCTTTGCACTTTTTGGCTTTCCACCTGCCCACCCACCCACCCCCCAACCCAATCACAACCCCAACCCCAACCCCAACCCCAACCCACCCCCACCCCACCCCACCCGGGATCTTTGGGGTGATTGTGGATCGGTTGAACGGTAACACCCCTTCCCCCCCCCGCCCACCCGCCCGCCCGCCCGCCCGCCCGCCCGCCCGCCCGCCCCCGCCCGCCCGCCCACCCACCCACCCACCCACCCACCCACCCACCCACCCACCCACCCACCCACCCACCCACCCACCCACCCACCCACCCACCCACCCACCCACCCACCCACCCACCCACCCACCCACACCCCACCCACCACCACAACACCGCCAACCCCAACCCCAACCCCACCCACCCCCCCACCCCCCCCCACCCCACCCCACCCCACCGTTATCTTTTGGGATAGGGTTCCCTGAATTTTCCTTGGGTTGGTTCAAACTGATAAACATCGCCTTTATAGTTGGGCCAGGTGCGTTGATGTTTAAAAGGGAAATATATGGAACCCTGTTTCGCATTCTTTCGCACTCAAACATGCAACACCCTGAAACCTTCTCGAAGAGCCTCAGATCTGTGGTGTTTGTGGTAGCGATCATCTACGAATCCGTCGTGCCACTTTGTGCATGTTGCAAGCGCAAAACTGCGCGTGCTTTTCTTGGGGAGCGGAACTTTTTGTAGTTCGCAACCCTCGTCGGAAGAAGGGGTCAGGTGGCCCTATGGGATCCTTTGGCCAACGAACAGGCCTGAGCCACAAGCGAAACTCCGAGTTTCGGGCAAATGAAGGCGAGGGATGGTCCTAACCACAGGTGCCTCGAGGCACGCTGTTGATTCTCGACGGTTGTTGGATATGGGTGTGGGTCAAAAATACACCACCGGGGGACCGCAGGTTTTAGTCCTTGGTTCCGTTTCCCAGGGTTCCATTTTGGGGTTACCCTACTATTGACCCGCAGCCATATAGTTATGGACAAAACTTTTTTTGGCCCATGGTCTTTGGCACACAAACTTGACCCATGCGCAGAAGCTTGGCCTCAACGTCATCGTGGTGCATCCCCATGGGGAGGCAGGGAGCGGATTCCTCGACCCAGTGCCATGGTTTTTGTTGAGGGGGGGCTGGCTGGATGGGTGGATGGGTGGATGGATGGGTGGATGGGTGGATGGGTGGGTGGATGGGTGGATGGATGGATGGATGGATGGATGGGGTTCTCTGGAAGTTGACTTCCCAACATGGCGCCCTTGGTTGGCAGGGTCCAAACATGGACCCCTGGTCTTGCTGGATTGAAGATGACACAGGAGGGACAAATTTGCCTCAGGCGTGGCATGGAGCTGTGCTTAGTTGGATGCAAGCTGCAGATCTCTCCTTGGAGGTGGGGTTACGGCCCAAGGGTATGACACATCCAACACAGGAAAACAGATGTCTACGTACCAAAGGGTCCAACTACTTCAACATCATGCCAATGTTTAGAGCTAAGGGACTTTATCCAGCCAAACACTCAACATTTGACCCAACGTTTGTCAGTTTGTCCATGCCGCTTGATCCGTACAAAAGCTTCAACCAAATTTGGTAGGTTTGTCACAATGTATGGGACTTTACCCATACTATGTCCCCCAGTAGTGCCCTTTGACCCTTTTTTGAGGGGGAGGGTTCCCCTACTAAAATCGACTACAGAAAAAGAGTACTCTTTTTCTAACCTCTCTACTGGAGGACCTAGCATAAAGATGCTTGAAGCATCACCCACCTGCAGCTTTCAAAGGCTGCTCGATTTCAGGTTGTTTCAAAAACAAACGTTATTCCTTCCCCTTGGCAAAACGGCTATTACTTTGCTCAAAGGCCACATGGGTGCAGCTCAAAACTTAAGAGCCAGGGTTACGCAGGTGTTGGTTTTTGTTTCCGTTTAGGTATTGAAATCGCTACGCGATCCGCCGACGCCAGTGGGGTGCAAGGGATTGTAACCTTTTTCCTTTTTCGTGGAAGTCTGCTATGTTTCAGTCAGGAAACATGTCCCAGATGCTGGGGATGCTGGAAATGCAAGGGATGCAACCACACAACGTACAGGAACAGAGCCAATCTTCGCATCCAACATTTCAAGACTTTCAGACACGCAAAATTGACGCAACACAGAAGATACCAGAGATGTCGGGAATGCTGAGAATGCAGCCGGCTGGCCACAAAAAAGTCCAAAAGCAATTGATTTGTTGATATTTCCCAAAACCAACCATCAAAAGCAGATACTAGCAACCCCCTTCAAATACCCTAAAAATAGACTTCCAAAAGCACGATAATGCAGGGGATGTTTCGCAGTAACTGCTCCGCACAGGTGGGGAATTGCAAAAAACGCTCATTTTTGCAAATCAAACAGTTCCTCAACGTATCACTGCACTTGGCCCCACCCAGACCCCTAACAGGCCGATTCCAACATCGCTTGAAACAGCAAAACAGCATTAGTATCTGCAAAAAAAGAGAGACAAATGCATAGCAGCAAGGTAACCCTGATGATGCTGGGGATGCAGATCCTGGTCGTCCGGGAGACCTAGGCGAAACGCAGGTTTTTAGCAGGCAAGCCCCAATCGCACTGGAAAATTACAGAGTTTTGGACAACCGGCACACCATGCCCAAAAAATGGCAACCCCAAAAGCCTTCGGCTTTGATGAGAGATCCGAAGGAAGACGCTCGACTGGCGTCGGCGGATTCCATTTTTTTTTGCCCAGCCACCTGCGACCTGAAATTTGCCATGGTTTTCCTTCAGCTAAATTCAGGGGCTCCTGAAAAAGGTCACGTCTTAGGGACTTCACCCATAAAAGGCAAGAGAAAAGAACATGCTTGAAGCATCTTTATTTTTTTAATGAAGATGACTTCAACCTTATTCCAAATCCACTTAATTCCTAAAATTTAAGAATTGTTGCTCCCCAAACCCAACGTCCACCAAGTTTACCCATTACAAAACCGCTCCAAGCCTCGTGTTTTGGAGCCCGGACTGCGCCCGGCCGCCAGGTGCAGCTACCGGGCGTGGCGCTCCGGCGGCCCAGCCTGGCAGACGGCTGCGAGGCGCAGACCAGGAATTCGGGGCGCCCGCGGAGCTTTGGCTGAAATGAAGGTTTCTTGGCTTTTTAGAGGGAATCTATCACTTTAACCAAAAAAACAAAAACAAAATAAGCTCAGGTGATCCTCGTGGACCGAACCCTGGTGGTACCCTCGTGGAACCTTACCTCAGGGCCGCCCCGGACCACCCCGGAGCCTATCTGGGCAGAGACCCCAAAGCTTTGAGCTGTTGGGAAAAAATATCAGGGGGCTTAAGCAAATGGAGGCTTTGGACGTCAATTTGGTCAAGTTGGTTAACACCAGGGATCACTTCTTTGACTTGAACTCTGGTTGGATTTATTTGGTAAACTTGGTCTACTTGACCTTTTGGTCAATTCTACTTTTGAACAGTACTGGCTCCGTTTCCGCGCCAGCCCGGCCAATTGGAAGTGGGTTGCGCTCTTGACCTCGGTTTGGTTTTCAGTTGTTGGTTCACAGCAGTTCGATTCTGGCAGTTTGATT